GTAGGAAAGACAAAACTCTACATTGAATATTTTTTGAAAACAATAATTGGGGTGTGATCTACAAACGATACCGAAGCCAAAAATATAGTATTTAGAATTTTTGTCTGTATGAATGTCCGGGATAAACTCGAAAAGTACTGCATGGATTTACTTCTTTGGCACGAATATTATTAACAAGTCGGGTCAACATATAGGCTACATATTATCACGCTATCACCTACGGGGAATGAGAAGTGAACCTTTATTTATAACTAACTCCACGCGTACGAAGTTGCGGGCGGCCGCTAGTTTTTAATACAATCGTTTTAAAATAAAAAGAAAAAAAGGAAAAAATCATACTGAAATTTTACCTGAAATTTGTGTGAAAACATCAAAGTCTTATATGACTAACAGAAAGTAATCTGATTACCTGATGCTTAAAATGCTTAATATAGTACCTAACATGAACCCTGTCAGGGTATCGCAATATACAGTACAGTTAAAGATAAAAATTACAAAAGAATATAATTAATAAACAATTATGTATTTAAGGAAACTAATTTGTATTAAATCACTTATATCTCAAATTATGCATAAATGTCATCTGATTCCATTAGTTTAACAATATAATATACTCAATTGATCTTATTAACAGTAGAAATATAATAGAAATGGAAATTCATTTATAAATTTAAATTAAATTTGTCAGTAATTAAAATGAATAAATATGTCAATAAAAATAAAATAATATGTCAATTAACATGATTATTATAAACTAGGTTTGTATTTAAAAAAAAATCGCCTCATTAATATTATTTTGTTGTAAAATGTTTATTTTTATACCTATATATTAAAAAATATATTACTTCTTTCTTGTTGTGATATTTTTATCTGCTTATTTCAATAAGCTATAAGAGGTTGAAGAATCCTACGGATATGAAAGGGTTAATATGCTTAAATATCTTTAAATTGCAGTTGGTGGATCAGTACATGAGTCTTAATTTGGTGTACTGAAAGCGTTGAGTTCAAACGAAAAGATAATTGTCTAATTGTAACTAAGTATTAAATTAGGAGCTGACGAACAAAACGGTATAATTACATAAAATTGAATTTTACAGGAGCTGTATAAAACTGTATGACATATATCCAGCGAGTTTTTGGCATGGTTTTTAATTTATAAATTTAGTCATTTTGACACGGTTTTAGGCGGTTTTGATTGAAAATTATTTGAGATTCAAATTAAACTGGCCCGAAACCTCCGGACTGTAAAAAAAAGTATTTTGACCAGATGCGTAATTATACCGTTTTGTTCAGCAGCTCCTCCAATGCAGTATCCCAGAAATCGACGCTATGTTCGTGTCTGTTCGTATATCCGCGTCAACCGTAGAAGCAAAGTTTATTACCGCCACTTCGATAGACTTGTGGGTGAGGGGCGATAAGTGTGCTCATGTTGGATAAAAACTGCCATGCAAAGCGCATGACATATTGGTTGTTTCCATATAAAAATGTAAGAGGATCAAATTGGAAGAAGCAGAACATAGCGCGGCACTGTAAGACAGCCTGGTTGCCAGCACAGCAAAGTTAGATGTTCATTGGTTACCATGAAAGCCGCTTAATATGAGTACATACTTTTTTTTATTTTATTTATTTATTCTAATTAGGTACTACGGCAAAATACCATTTACAGCAATTAGTAAAAAAAAAAGAAATCAAACAATTACAAACATGAGGATTCACACTCATTTTTCTCGCAAAACAATAGGCAATCATACATTATTTTATTCCATTCATCTGCATACACATCACACTCAGGCTTATCAGCCAGGAGCGCATTAAGTTCAGTCATAATGCGTCAAAGAGGAGATTGAGCGCGGATAACAGTGCGAAGAGACGATGCAGATGGTTAAGTCGGTGCTGCGTATATCGGTCAGGAACGTACAATCGACTAAGTTCATTGTGTAGATCTGGAGCATTAATAATACCACAGATTATTTTGATGCCAATGGATAGTTGGTTCCTTGTCCTATGCGCTCTAAGAGAAATTAACTACTATAGCGCCTATTGCCTCTCTCATAATCATCATCTTGCAGAGAAGTAATTCTTTATAGCGAGTGTGTGTTAAAATTCAGCATACAAGAGGCGTTATAAGGATTCAAATGTACAGATATACATATACCCATTAATGTATAAAATTCTATCCATCCATCAATCGAGTGTTCGAGGTTGAGACCTAATTGACTTTCATGTTATATTGATTTTCATGCAGACTTAGATATGTGTAGTTAAGTGATTGAGAATACTTCCTTTAAAGTCTAAGTAAATAATAACCACAGAACATGTGAAATAAAAATAATTAACATCGGGCTGCACACTCGTACAATTTTCCATAATTCTTAACGGTTCAGATCCAAGCTTAGTGGGCACAAGACTGAGATATTTATTACCTTTTTTTGTTAAATAGTGGCGTTGAAATATAATTGGAATAGGTTCAACCGTGGCGGGCGGGATTACCGCGGGGATGCGGAGACGAAAAATCTGTGGAAAAAGGCTAGATAGATACGATGAAGATACACAAAAATACCCGTAAAAAAATTAGGCGGCTATTACTTACACCCCACTTTTTTTGCACTAAAATTTGGGGCAAAATCCTAAGGGATTTGTCGTAACAAAATTCCGCTGCTGCAGTTTAGGTAAATACAGCCGCGAGTATGTCCGAGACGCATGAGTGTCGGTCCGAGTGCTCTAAATTTACCATTTTCATCATCTACGGAAAGTTTACCAAAGTCGTCCTGTCGAGGCCCAAGGGTCCCCGGCTGAGTGGCAAGTTACTTCAAATTGTATAGCTAATAATTTAATTTAACGACTTCCGTATTCGGTGATGCCATGCTTGACAGATTAAAGCTAGCAAAACATGAAGGTTCTAGGTTTTCTTCCAACTTGTTTAAACTTAAAAGAGATATTTTTAGGGTTCCTTACCTCAAAATGAAAAAACGGAACCCTTATAGGATCACTTTGTTGTCCGTCCGTCTGTCCGTCCGTCTGTCCGTCCGTCTGTCCGTCTGTCAAGACCGTTTTTCTCAGGCACGCATGGAGGTATCAAACTGATATTCATATCTAACACTCAGATCTACTATCCCTTGGAGTTGTGAAAAAATCAAACTTCTAAGCCAAAGCCATCAAAAGATACCGCCGTTTATGCCGCAAATTTTCGAAACTCGCACGGGAATCAAAACTTACAGGGTACCTCCTTCCCGTGAACTTAGAATCTTAAAATTTGGTACGAAGTAACGTCTTATAGTACAGATAAAGGAAAAATTGCGAAAACCGTAAATTTTGACGTGACAACGTCTTAAATTAGGTTGCGGCTGGGAGTCACTTATGAAAAAGTGTAACGCTCGGTAACGTTACGATGAGTCTCTCGTGTTAAGTTTAAGTTTACATGTACAATGTTTTAGTAAACAAAATATATTTCTATAGTTAAAATTTGTGCAATTCTTATTTTCATTCAATTCCTTGTTCCTATTGTGCAATTTAATTATATTCATATCAATAAATATTCTACCGAGAAAAAGACGTTGTCACGTAAAATCTTCGCCCGTAAAACCGACTTTACAGGCAACCATTTTTTTTAGTTACATCATATAATAAACAATATTTTTTAATAATTATTAAAATATACCTACAGGTTTGTACGGAACCCTCGGTGCGCGAGTCCGACTCGCACTTGACCGGTTTTTTTCAACTAAGTAAGATAAGACACGAAATCCCATAACTGATTCGTTTAATTAAATGGTATAAATTATGTAATCTGACTTTTATTAAAAATATCGTTTCTTTCTTATGAGTAAGAAGCAGGGATGCTACCGTGTCCATTAACATATACATGTAGGTTATTGTAATTATTAACTAGTTATGTTATTACTAAAGAACCAGTTTATAAGGCCGTTGTAAACAATGGATGCGTGATACTGCTATGTATATATAGCTTCATTGATTGGTGGTTCTGAGGAAATAAAGGAATACGAGATTACTTGGTTTCTATTGGTTTCTCCAAATATATATTATAGCAAAACATACTTTTCTTAAGCAAACAAATGTATTTAATTTTAGTAGCAAAATAACTGTGTTACTGTACCATCTAACTAAGCAATGAAGAAGTGATTATTTCTAACTGGATTTCCTTCACCTGCTACACAACTTAGAACTTAACTTTAACTTCATCTCATAATTTAATGGTGTACTCTGTTAGCGTGGTCAACTAAGGGCTGCATCGTACACCATGGTAAAACGATATAGGAACGACACACAGAATTTATCGGAAATACAGCTTTTGAATGACTTCTGCGTAAACTTTTATTGTGTTCCTATAATACGACGATTTACACACTGCTGCCGGGTGGACAGCGGAGGTTTGGAGGGTTCTCTTGCTACCCTTTGAGTACGAAACCTTAACTTAATAGCAAATAAAAAAAAAACATCAGAAAATACTTAAATAACTTGAATGTTTAAAAATAAATACTCTACACAAACAATGCACCTGACATCGTGTACATGACATGTAAACATAACGATGTGCGTCAGAAATGTTGCGTTGAATGAAGAGTCAAACGTTTCATGTAATGTTTATACGAACAGAACAGGTTTCGTGCTAGTCAGCCGGTTCCGCGCTGACGACACAACTTGACGATTTGTCCCAATTGACGTCACACTCATTTGAATTAACAACCATAATTATGTTTTATCAAAAGCAATGTATTCCCAATAACAAATGTCATATTAAATCACTGTCACACGTGTTTACTTAATTCAGTAATGAAATTGTCAAGGCCATCTGAATGCCAATGCAATGAAAAATTTTGGACATAAGCACCGGATATTAGCCAAATTCTGAGGGAGACACCAGTGAAGAAATCTAGCCTAGTTCAAATATTTTTTACGAGATGAAACACCTATCAATATATATAATGATAAGTAGAAAATTTAATTAACGAGCTAATTGTAGATTTTCTGTTGCTTTACAGGACTTCATGGACTCCCTGAACGTAACGGAAAGCTCAAAGACTTGGAGCATTTCGATGCGACCTTCTTCGGTGTGCACGCGAAACAGGCACACCTCATGGACCCGCAGCTGCGGCTGCTGCTGGAAACCACGCACGAGGCCATCGTCGACGCGGGCTTCTCCGCCGCAGAGCTGCGCGGCACCCGCACAGGCGTCTACGTCGGCGTCTCCAACTCCGAATCGGAAGAAATGTGGACCGCCGACCCCGACAAGATCAACGGCTACGGGCTCACGGGGTGCTGTCGAGCCATGTTCCCCAACCGGATTTCCTACACGTTCGACTTGAAGGGTCCGTCTTACGCCATCGACACCGCCTGCTCGAGTTCGCTGTTCGCACTCGCGCAAGCTTTCATGGCCATCCGTGCGGGACACTGCGACGCTGCCATCGTGGCCGGCTCCAACTTGTGCCTGAAGCCGGGCAACTCGCTGAACTTCCACCGCTTGAGCATGCTGTCGCCGGACGGGCGCTGCGCGGCGTTCGACGCCAGCGGGAAGGGCTACGTGCGGTCGGAGGCCGTGGTGGCGGTGCTGCTGCAGCGCCGCAGCGACGCGCGCCGCGTGTACGCGACCGTCCACAACGCGCGCATGAACGTCGACGGCCAAAAGGAACAGGGTATCACTTTCCCGTCCGGCGCCATGCAACGACAGCTCGCAAAGGAAACTTTCGACGAAGTGCGATTGCGCCCTCAAGATGTCGTTTACGTAGAGGCGCACGGCACCGGCACCAAGGTATATCGATACGTCTATTTACTACAGTGAATTTTTTCGCATTAATTTGAATGTTGGTACTGATTCTCTTACGTTTTTTTTCAGGTGGGCGACCCCCAGGAGGTGAACGCGATCGCAGATTTGTTCTGTGAGAATCGCACGAACCCGCTGTTGCTGGGCTCGGTGAAGTCCAACATGGGCCATTCGGAGCCGGCGTCGGGCTTGTGCTCGATCGCCAAACTAGTCGTCGCTATGCAAAGCGGTGTCATCCCTGGCAATTTACACTACAAATCTCCAAACTTGGACATTCCCGCCCTTAGCGATGGACGTATAAAGGTGTGTTTAATTTTGTAAAAAAATACGTTTGGATTCATCATCATCATCACCAGCCTAATGTGCATGTGCGAGAACTTTGCCGACAAACTACAATGCAGTACGGCAGATAATTTGTATTTTTCTTGTAAAAAAAATGATGTGGTGTCGTGGGACATCAGGTAGGAACGAAGTTCCTTCGGCTAATGTAGAATCGACACAAATTGCACACTCGCTTGTGTATGCGACTGTCGCGTCTGCGCACGTCTCATTTAACGGTTTTATTCCACGCACTTTTTTTCACGGATTTTTTCTTACGGTTTTACTATCACATTTTTTTCAGTTCGGTCGCGCAGCAAAATCCCTATCCCCTCCGAGCCTGCCGTAAGGAACTTCGTTCCAAAAATTCTAACAATACGCATTCCGATCGAACAGGTGGTCGACAAAAACACACCCTGGGAAGGCGGTCTGGTGGCCGTGAACTCGTTCGGGTTCGGCGGCGCCAACGCGCACGTGATCCTGGAGGTGGAGCGCGGCGCGCCGGCCCGCGCGGTCGAGGCGCACTATGCGGTGCCGCGCCTCGTGCTGGCCTCGGGCCGCACCGACGCCGCCGCGCGCGAGATGCTGGCGCTGGCGGCGCGGCACCCGCGCGACGCCGGCCTGCACGCGCTCATAGACGCGGTGCATGCGCGGCCGCAGCCCGGCCACGCGCACCGCGGGTACGCGCTGCTGGACCCCTACCGCGAGGAAGTGGAGGTACTGTTCATCATCATCTATGCCGCTTGTCACTGTTATGCCGCTTGAATATAATAATTATATATCGATTAATGGTACTTTAGGTCTATTTGTAAACATAAATTGTTTGTGACTGTTTGTTACCTGAATTAAATAAATAAAAAAAAAACATCAGCCTATTATATCCCCATGCTGGGGCACAGGCCTTCCCTATGAAATGAAATGGAAAGTCGTTTATTCGGTCTAGACTGTTACAAGCGCTTGTGAAGGTCGAGAAGCTACGCCATCGGTTCGCAAAACTACGGCGGGAGACCTTGTATTGAGAAGAACCGGCAGGAAACTCAGCGAGGGCTGCTTTTTTCTCCCTGTATTCATATATACAGAGTCGTCAAGTTGAAAAATGACTTCAGAGATACTTCTGAAATCACCTTCCATTACATTATTAAATAATGTAATAAATATTTATTCACTATGGATGGAATAGGGAGATTGGGCCATGACCCACCACGCAGGCCCGGTGAGGATTGATGGGTGCTAACGACTGCAGATACAGCCGGGACCGACGGCTTAACGTGCCTTCCGAAGCACGGAGGGGCTCGAGATAGTAAATTTTTGGTCACCCATCCGATGACCGACCGCTGCGAAAGTTGCTTAACTTCAACGATCGCAGCCGAACGCGCTAACCACTTGCGCCATAAAGCTCCTCAAGTCGAGTTACTGTTCCAACCCAACTTGGTAATCACATATTGTTAATTTTACATTTTCACCATCCACTGTAAAGGAGACCTTCGATTACTGCCCAATTTTGTATCTTAGTACAAATTAATTTTAAAAAAACTTTTACAATTATACTTAAAAACGCGCACTCATCAAAATCTCAATAAATTCAATAGAAATAGATGAAAATCTGAATTAAAATATTTAAAAAGGGAAAGGTGTCGATTCTGACCTGATTCTCTAAACCTAAACTTAAATTTGACAACAGTGTATCCTTGTCATTCTCTAGATAGAATGAAAGGGAGAGACTGATGTTAAATTTAGTTTTAAGTTTAAAGAATCATGCCAGAATTGACACCAATCTCCGTATAAAGTAAACTAAACTAAACTTCCTTACCTAGACGCAACTTGTCATTGAATAACAGATGTCATGACAGCTAATACTATCGGTTTAAATTCATTTCCTCGATTATGATTGGAAATAACATAAATCACGTGACTACGTTCTTAGACTCTGTCTAATGAACCGTGACCCTCCTATTTTTTACCCGACTGCGCAATGCAAGAGCGCAAAGCGAAATATAATGTTTATCAGTTTATATTTCGAGTTTTAAATATAGCAACATTAGAACTGTCACTATGACGTTATGAATTGTTGTTGGATGGTTGGGTTTTGATACTTTTGTTTATTGGGGTACCAATTTTATTTCTATTACTATTATCATAATCATGGCTATTGCCTTTTTGCAGATAGTGTAGAATAATGTATAAATTACGGAAAAGATGAAATACACAATTGATCTTTTACAATCTAGTGTAACAAACGAGATGTTGACACATGAAATATTTAGAACATATATCATCAATCAAAGATATTTTCCTTTGGACACCAAATACTTATTAGAAAATCGAATTATCATCATCAAAAGCCATACACAAATCTCAGAGCTATGACGTTAAAATAATATATTAGCAATATTTAGGAACTTCCTTTTTTTATTAAAGTTGTTGTAATGTTTTATTTGTTTATTAATTTCAAGTATCAAGTCTATTGTCCCTATAAAGACGGTGTTTACAGCTACAGAATTTTTAATTTTGCCGCTCTTTTGGAGAGTCGCGCTTCTCTCAGACTCTACCCTCTACACGCGCTTACACACACCTCCCTTCACGCTCAATGTTACCACAGTTGTCGTTGAATGGCAGGAGTTCGAGGGCGGCGAGCCGCGGCCCGTTTGGTTCGTGTTCTCGGGCATGGGGTCGCAGTGGGCCGGCATGGGCAACACTCTGATGCAGCTGCCGGTGTTCGCGCAGAGCATCGAGCGCTCAGCGGCGGCGCTCAAGAAGCACGGCGTCGATCTAATCCACGTCCTCACTGAAGCGCCGAACGCCGCTTTCGAAGAAGTCATCAACTCTTTTGTGTCCATCACGTCCGTACAAGTCGCGCTCGTGGACGTTTTGCGCTCCGTCGGCATCCGACCCGACGGCATGGTGGGCCACTCCGTCGGTGAAATGGGTCAGTATTGATAATAATAATGTTTCCAACGATCACACCAATTAGCCTAGCCCCAAAGTAAGCACTGGAAGGCTTGTGTTATGGAATACTTGGGTAACGGATGGAATATTCGCTAATTCATTATATATATTTTTAAGCATTTAATGGCTAGAGGTTTAAATCTAAATAAAATTATTCAAAAAAAATCCACGTGGTCCAGGCAGCAGACTGGAATCAAACCTGCACCCTCCGCTATCCGGGCGGATGCACTTTCGCATGGTCGTATTGAATTTCTTCTAGTACTTCTTACGCTGCAAGGCAGCGCCATCTCTTCGCATTGTAGGTAGAAATATTTCTCATAATTGTTTCTTCTTCTTAGTAATTTAACCAATTTTCTCTTGAAACAAATGCCAACGAGTCAGTTAATGAGTAAAACTATATTTGTTGGTATATTTACATCTCATTTTTTAATTATTTATGAATTAGTGGAAAATTTATATGACAAGCTGAATTGCTAGCTACAGATTTTTTTATGATTCAGTAACTACTTTTCTGTCTGTAAATCACTGCCGGATGCGGCGTGCAAAATTACGTAAACCATTATCATAGATTTATCAGTAAAACCATGGAGTCGTCAATAGGTTTTTATGAATCATTTTTGATTTCGTTAAAACTAATCGTTTAAGTATTTATTTTATGATAGGAAGCGAGCAAATGTAGTAAATTTTGATGCGGGTACTTGCGGGCGGTATTTTGATACTGTATATTATGTTATTCTTGTTTATCTATATATATAAAACTCAAAGGTGACTGACTGACATAGTGATCTATCAACGCAAAGCTCAAACCACTGGACGGATCGGGCTGAAATTTGGCATGCAGGTAGATGTTATGACGTAGTCATCCGCTAAGAAAGGATTTTGACCAATTCTACCCCGAAGCGAAGCGATGGCGGGCCACTAGTAATGAATAAACTCATTAGAATTTCAGACGGAACCTTTAATGAACTCACACGCATCACGCGTAACCGAAATCTTTACCAATAAATACAGAAAAGCCCGGTTACTCAATACATTCAGCTATTATCTCGGATAACAACGTATTAGGTAAAGTCGCGGTAATAAATACACACGGGCCACGGTACCGTCGGCCCGATAAATGTATTAAATAAAATGTCTTTAAATAAAATGAACTTTTAAAGGTTGCGCGTACGCCGACGAGACATTGACCGCGGAGCAAGCGGTGCTGGCGGCGTACTGGCGAGGCCGCAGCATCGTGGACGCCAAGCTGGCGCCGGGCGCGATGGCGGCGGTGGGCCTCACGTGGGAGGAGTGCGCGCGCCGCTGCCCGTCAGATGTGTTCCCGGCCTGCCACAACGCCGCCGACAGTGTCACGGTATGATATGATGGCGTACTGGCGAGGCCGCAGCATCGTGGACGCCAAGCTGGCGCCGGGCGCGATGGCGGCGGTGGGCCTCACGTGGGAGGAGTGCGCGCGCCGCTGCCCGTCAGATGTGTTCCCGGCCTGCCACAACGCCGCCGACAGTGTCACGGTATGATATGATGGCGTACTGGCGAGGCCGCAGCATCGTGACGTCACCCACTAGTAAGACGCCATATTGTCCAGCGAAACGTTTTCGCGGCAAATTGAAAATGGAGTTTTTGATTTAGTTATTTTTACTGAAATACACAACAGAATGATGAATATCCTTTTTACGGACTCCATAAACATTAGTCAATAACGTGTGATCGTTTTCTAAAACTTGTCAAAAATCTTATTGCTGATTTTCTGTAAAATATTGATGCGTTTTTAAGCTCACTCTTGCTATCAGCTAAAAATGTTCTGCATTTCAAAAGACGTGTAAATAAGTCAATTCGTATTAAAGAATGAATAAAGTTATCATTATATTTTTATTTGTTAAGCATTCAACTGCTATATGTATAAATTTACAGAAAACGTTAACTCGAAAAAATTCAGGCGGCCAGGCAGCAGACGGGACTCGAAACCGCACCTTCCGCTATCCGAGCTGAGGCCCTGACCAATTATTCTAGTATTTGTTAGGTTACAAGGAAGGGTTTTGAGTACTTAAATCTTTACTCTATATTTTTTTGATTTTTCTTGACATAATTTTATTTAAATATCGTTAGTACAGTAAAAATGTACTGAAACATAAAAATTAGCTTTTTCTAAAAGTTGATTCGCATAAAGTGTATTTCTGTTTGTTTTGGTTTAGATTTCGGGCCCAGTTCCATCGATAGAGAAGTTCGTTGCCCAGTTGTCAGCGGAGGGCATATTCGCGCGTCGCGTAAACAGCAGCGGCGTGGCGTTCCACAGCAAGTACATCGCTATGGCAGCGCCCCTGCTGCGCCGCAGCCTCGAGCGAGTCATCACACATCCCAAGCCCCGCACCGCGCGCTGGGTCTCCTCCTCGCTGTCCCCCGAGCAGCGCAACACCGACATAGGTCAGGATATGACATTGTTCCCCAGCAAGCACATCGCTATGGCAGCGCCCCTGCTGCGCCGCAGCCTCGAGCGAGTCATCACACATCCCAAGCCCCGCACCGCGCGCTGGGTCTCCTCCTCGCTGTCCCCCGAGCAGCGCAACACCGACATAGGTCAGGATATGACATTGTTCCCCAGCAAGCACATCGCTATGGCAGCGCCCCTGCTGCGCCGCAGCCTCGAGCGAGTCATCACACATCCCAAGCCCCGCACCGCGCGCTGGGTCTCCTCCTCGCTGTCCCCCGAGCAGCGCAACACCGACATAGGTCAGGATATGACATTGTTCCCCAGCAAGCACATCGCTATGGCAGCGCCCCTGCTGCGCCGCAGCCTCGAGCGAGTCATCACACATCCCAAGCCCCGCACCGCGCGCTGGGTCTCCTCCTCGCTGTCCCCCGAGCAGCGCAACACCGACATAGGTCAGGATATGACATTGTTCCCCAGCAAGCACATCGCTATGGCAGCGCCCCTGCTGCGCCGCAGGCTCGAGCGAGTCATCCATCATCACCTGTTGAGATTTGTATACGTAAACACCTATTATGTTACTATTCAATTTATCGATTTGTAATAACAACCAGTCGCAATACAGATGTCACACAAAACACGCGTTTCTTCATTTCGTTAACGAGCCCCAAGCAAAAGAAAACCTTAATTCCTTAACATAGTGGTCATAATCGAGCCGGATTGCAATAGAAAATAAAAGTGCATTAGGGAACCGGTTGACCTTGGCCGTGGCTCGCATCGGGCCGCATGATTGCAAGTGATAGAAAAAACAAGTACTTACTTACGCTACGCTGCATTGGAAAGTAATTTACGCATTGAGATATTGTTGTTTATAAGTAAAAACTTAAAAGTGCGTCGTTTAACATTTTTAGTGAAAAAACGAACATGTCAGTGTCACAAGTGATCGATCAACAAGATAATTTATTAGAACTTATGACTAAGGCGCAAACAAACTTTAAAAAATCTCCGAAAGGTCGTTTAACTGCGGGCTATGTGGAAACAAGAATAAAGTGTATTGATGAATATTGGTCAAGTTTTCGTAGTGGACACACAAATATATTTCAATTATCTACAAAGGAACAAAGGGCGAATTTACCATACTTTGCAAATGATTTGCATAGTCAATGCGAAGAAATATATTTGTCACTGAAATCGGATTTGGTGGACTTATTGCAAACACTTACTGGCTCAAACTCAGGCCAACACGAAGCCAACGTTTCCTTGTCCACGTCTCGCACAGAAAGAATAGCTGGAGAAGTCAAGTTACCTAGAATAGAATTACCAAACTTTTCGGGCGCATACGACGAATGGCAGTCATTTGAAGACACATTTACATCACTTATAGATAGCAATAAAAGTTTAAGCGACGTACAAAAATTGCACTATTTAAAATCATGTGTAGTCGGCGAAGCAAAGAATTGTATCAAACATTTTCAAACCACGGAGAAAAATTATCAATCGGCATGGGATACTCTAAAGAATCGATATAGTCAAAAGAGACTGATTGTTAACGCCATTCTCAAGAGATTGTTTTCCTTAAAAAAGGCAACTAGTCAGTCACCGCCACAACTGAAAGCATTAGTAGACAATACAAGGGAGTGTATAAATGGTCTCAATAATATGAACATTAACACCGACTCTTGGGACCCAATAATTATATTTCTGACTGTACAGAAATTGGATCAAGAGTCACATAAGGGCTGGGAAAGTTTTGTGAGCAGTGAATGTAATGAAACGCCTACATTTCAAAATTTAATAAGTTATTTGGAAAACATGATTTGCACAATGGAACTCACCGTGAGCAGCAATTTGATAAACAGAATAAGAGAGCGTACTCACCATGCCACAGCTGATATCACCGCCGCCGCTACAGCTACAACTTCATATTCACGGCCAAATTGTTATATATGCAACGAAGAACATTTGCTTTGTCACTGTAAGGAATTTGGAAAATGGAGTCCAGAAAAGAGATCTGAATATGCTATTGAGAACCGTTTGTGTTTCAACTGTCTGGCCAAAGGACACTCTGTTTATTTCTGCCGACAAAAGACTACGTGTAGAATTTGTCGCAAACGGCACCACTCTTTGCTTCATAGCTCCAAGAAAAAAGAAGAAAGGTCAAGTGATGAAGTAGAAAATAAGAATATCTCAACGATGCATAGCGGAGTAGAAAATCACGAAACAGAAGGAAACGTGTCAGTTGCCTCGCATTTTTGTTTTAAACACCAGAGGGCGTTGCTAGCCACCGCACTCATCCCTGTCAAAGGTAAGTCAGGTCAGGGTACAGTACTTAGGGCATTACTTGATACGGGTTCACAGGCATCATTTATTAGTGAAAGAGCGACTCAGGTGTTAAATCTAAGCAAAAAACCAATACATGGTACGGTAACTGGAGTTGGTTCCACAACCACGATAGTCAGACATGTGGTACAGTTAGAAATTTTGTCTCGATATGAAAGAGATTTCAAGCTACCAGTTAAAGCTTATGTTATATCAACACATCTGACTACACACTTACCATGTAAGGAAATTAAGTCAAACAACTGGTCACACTTAGATGGATTAATGTTAGCTGATACAAATTATTTTACACCAGGAAATATTGACCTTCTGCTGGGCATAGATGTGTACACTGAGATAGTTAAGAACAATCTGATTAAGGGTCCGCCGGGTACTCCATGCGCACAAGAAACCAATCTTGGTTGGATTCTTTTCGGTAACATAAATGACTCACACTCAGATGAGCACACTATTGCCATGCATCATCACCTGGATATAGATAATATGTTACGTAACATGTGGGAAATAGATCAGTCTAATGAACGCAATATCACAGCTGATGAAAGACTTTGTGAGCAAATATACGCAACCACACACTGTAGAGCACAAGATGGACGTTATATTGTAAAACTGCCATTTAAAAATAAGCAACCAATTACACTGATTGGTGATACAAGAAATATTGCACTCAAAAGATTTTACCAACTTGAAAGAAGATTAGAGGGAAACAAGAAACTTAAAGAAGAATACACAAAGGTAATGGAAGAATATTTACAACTAAAACACATGGAAGAAGTACCCGAAGAAGATAGATATAAGCCAGCAATATTTCTTCCACACCACGCAGTCATACGGGAAGATAAAGAAACCACCAAATTAAGAGTTGTCTTCGATGCATCTTGTAAAGGATCAAACAACAGATGCTTAAATGATGAACTGCTTGTAGGACCACAACTGCAAGAAGATTTGAGAAATCTTATTATGAGATGGCGCATGAAACCAATTTGTTTTTTAGCAGACATACAAAAAATGTACCGACAGATTCTTGTGACGAAGGATGACGCGGATTACCAAAGAATATTTTGGAGGAAGAACAAATCAGAAGAGCTTAAAGAATATCGACTTTTGAGAGTTACATTTGGGACAGCATCGGCGCCATTTCTAGCAGTCAGAACTTTAAGACAGCTTGCAGAAGATGAAGGGTTGTCAAAGGGATATACAAGATCAGCTCAGATAATTTTAGAAGATTGTTTTGTTGATGATACCATGAGCGGATGCGAAACAGTGGAAGAAGCCGTGAAACTAAGAAAAGAACTAACACAAATATTAAAAAGAGGCGGTTTCGAGCTACAGAAATGGGCATCTAACTCGAGTGAATTTATGAATGATATCGATCCTGCACTTCAAAGTGCACATGCAAATAAGAATATACACAGTGAGAGCACAATTAAAACGCTTGGGCTTACATGGAACATGACGTCTGATACATTTCAATATATATTCAATCTTCCGGAACCTGCAAGAGTTGTAACTAAAAGGACTATTCTTGCTGATATTCAACGGCTTTTCGATCCACTTGGCTGGCTTGGAGCAGCAATCATACCTGCAAAAATTCTCATACAGAAACTGTGGGTAGATAAGTTTGATTGGGACGACAAGGTAAGTGAGGCACTGGAAGAAGAATGGTTAACTATAAGAAAGAGTTTTGAAAACCTAAAAGAAATAAAAATTAAAAGATGGCTGCAAACTAAGAATACGGAGAGGAATGCAATAAATCTTCATGGCTTTTGTGACGCTTCTGACAAGGGTTACTGCGCTGTTGTGTACTGCAGATCTGAAACAGAAAAGGGAGAAATTAATATAGGAATCGTTGCTTCCAAAACACGAGTAGCACCTGTTAAACCTGTTTGTATACCGCGATTGGAGTTGCAGGGCGCTGTCTTATTAGCAAAGTTGCTTACACAAGTCAGAGAAGCTATGAGGATACCAATCAACAATGTTTTTGCTTGGACGGATTCTTCAGTAGTTCTATCTTGGCTGTTTGGAGATCCAAATAGATGGAAACCATTTGTGAGCAATCGAGTTATAGAAATCTTAGACAATATTTGTAACACTCAATGGTTCCATGTAGCATCAAAGGAAAACCCCGCAGACATTGGTTCACGGGGAGTCAATCTAGAGCAATTATTAAACAATGAGTTATGGTGGAAAGGGCCAGTGTGGCTGAAGGAAAAAGAAATCAAATTTTACAGACCAAACATAATTCCAACCGAAATAGAGAGGAAGAAGACATTACAAGTAAATTTAATAATTGATAAAAATAAGGAAGAGAACAAAAAATTAAAGTTTGATAATTTTAATACTTTACAAGAATTACTCAAAACTATAACTCAGTGCAAACGATTTATCAACAGTAAAAAAAATCCAGAGAAAATAAATATTTCAATAACAACAGAAGAATTAGAAGATGCATTACTAACATGTGTGAGGATAAATCAAAAAAGAGATTTTGAAGAGGAAATAAATAGATTGAGAGCGAAAAAACACCTAAAAAAGTCTAGTCGGCTGAAATCGTTAAATACTTACCTTGATGACAAAAATATTCTCAGGGTGGGCGGGCGTTTGCAAAATTCAGACTTACCAGAAGATAGAAAACATCCGATAATCTTGGGAACCAATAATCATTTGACAACATTAATCATAGCAGAAGCTCACCAGAAAACCCTACATGGAGGAATTCAACTGATGCTGTGCTATCTCAGATCAAAATATTGGATAATCAGAGCTAAAAATGCTGTAAAGGCTTACGTCCATAAATGTATTGTTTGTGCTCGGCAGAAGGCCATAACCAGAACACAAGTAATGGGTGACTTACCGCGAGTTCGTACAACACCAACACGTCCATTTCTTCATAGCGGAGTGGATTTTGCTGGACCTCTGCAAATTCTTGTATCCAGGGGCAGAGGAGCCAAAACAAGAAAGGCTTATATAGCAATTTTTATTTGCATGTCCACAAAGGCCATTCATTTAGAATTGGTTGGGGACCTGACTTCCGAATCATTTATTGGTGCATTTCGACGATTCACAGCCAGAAGAGGCAAATGCGCTCACCTATGGAGCGATCAAGGAAGAAACTTTGTGGGTGCTAATAAAGAATTAGCAGCTGCATGGTCCCAAGCTAAATTCGAATTGCCAGGTCATCTGGCAGAGGAGTTAGCAACAGACTCAACTCAGTGGCATTTTATACCGCCATATAGCCCCAATTTTGGAGGATTGTGGGAGGCAGGGGTCAGATCAATCAAATATCACCTAAGAAGGATACTCACTTCCAATCTTACCTTCGAGGAAATGACGACCACACTCTGTCAAATTGAGGCATGTCTGAATTCGAGGCCTCTTTCTCCCATAGAAACTTCTGACCCTGACGCATTAGAAGCATTAACACCTGGACATTTTTTAATAGGCGAAGCACCTCTTACTGTACCATGTCCTGACCTACGTCTCGTAAAAATTTCTAATTTATCTCGCTGGCAACTGACACAAAGGCTCGTGAGAAACTTCTGGCACAGGTGGCTAACAGAATATCTTTCGAGACTTCAGGAACGTCCTAAATGGCTAAAATGCGAACCAGAGTTCGAGGTCGGAGATATCGTTCTACTTAAGGATGATCAACTTCCGCCAGGGAAGTGGTCTCTCGGTCGCATTGTACAAAAGCATCCCGGTCCTGATGGCATGACGCGAGTGTACAGCGTCAAGTGTCGCAATGATACAATAAAGCGATCTGTTTCCAAATTATGTGCATTGCCTATCGATAAGACATAAATTAATTAGAGATATTTACAATTGCATTAGATTAAAGCTATATTATCCGATTTGCATGCTTTACATTAGTATATTTTTTTCGATCTTTGTGATTTTGTCTCCGAGTTTAAGTAAATTGCTCTGTAATTGTATTAAAATTTTACATTCATTGTTTAGAAAGAACTATCGTCCTTTGGTGGGCGGCATGTTGAGATTTGTATACGTAAACACCTATTATGTTACTATTCAATTTATCGATTTGTAATAACAACCAGTCGCAATACAGATGTCACACAAAACACGCGTTTCTTCATTTCGTTAACGAGCCCCAAGCAAAAGAAAACCTTAATTCCTTAACATCACCCATCCCAAGCCCCCACATATTACAAAGAATTATCATCACAAACAAACAAGTGAGCGTCTAGCGAGTCATTTAACTTTAGACCAATATAGTTTGTTACCGTGGGGAGTGGTAAGAGTAGAGCAAAGAGGCGATACTGATTCGAATATTACATGACTGATGACTCTGTACGGATCCCGTACATTAAATGATAGATAAAAGTGATATTTAACCGTTTATTTAAAAATATTGCTAAAATATAATGATTTATGAGTACACGTCGATCGCTGATTGTGAACTGATTTTACAATTATAATAAAATTGTCGCCGAGGGCGTAAACCGCCGACCGCGCGGAACGTACGGTCGTCGCAACGCACAGACTCTCCATCGAACGTCGATCTCATCCGTTGCCCCGTTTCGTTCCCTCAGCCAAGATGAGCGACGTGGCGTACCACGTGAACAACCTGCTGTCGCCGGTGCGTTTCGCGACCGCGCTGTCCGCGGTGCCGGCGCGCGCGCTGGTGGTGGAGGTGGCGCCGCACGCGCTGCTGCAGGCCGTCCTCAAGCGGGCCCTCCCCGCCCCCGCCGCGCACGTGCCGCTCGTGCGCCGCGACCAGCCCGACCCGCTGCGCCAGCTGCTGGCCGCCGTGGGCCGCGCCTACGTGGCCGGCGCGCAGCCCGCCGTGGCCGCGCTCTACCCGCGCGTGGCCTGGCCCGTGCCGCGCACCACGCCCGGCCTCGCCTCCAGCGTGCGGTGGGACCACGCCATCGAGTGGGCCGTCGCCGACTTCTCCGGCCCCTCGCGCTCCGCGGAGAACGTCATCGAGGTCGATCTGTCGCGCGCCGAGGACGCGTACCTCACCGGCCACCAGATCGACGGCCGCATCCTGTTCCCGGCGACCGGATATCTGGTGAGTTGATGTGTTGGTAAAACGTCTGGAACGTTCCGACCCCTCGGCTCTTGGGAGCGTTTTCGATTATGAAGAAAAATTTAATTCGACGCGTGTCTCCGTTTCCAGACCCTGGTTTGGCGAACGATGGCGAAGATGCATAATAAGAAACTCGAGGAGACGCCGATCGTTCTCGAGAACGTTCAGTTCAAACGAGCGACCATAATGAATCGCGAGACCACCCTCCGCTTCATGGTGACCGTCCTGGAGGGCACCGGCGAGTTCAACGTGTGCGAGGGTGGCGCCGCGGTCGTGACGGGGACCGTGCGCCTCGCCGAAGGTGGCGATAAGGAGTTCCTGAAGCTGGAGGCGCCCGAGAAGTTCCAGTCCGAGGAGGGATCCGTGTCGCTCGTGCAGGAGGATGTCTACAAGGAGCTGCGCCTGCGCGGCTACGACTACAACGGCATGTTCCGCGGCATCCGCTCCTCCGACTCGTCGGGCCAGAGCGGTCGCGTGACCTGGGCCGACAACTGGGTGTCCTTCATCGACACCATGCTGCAGGTGTCGATCATCCATAAGAAGACTCGCGAACTGTACCTGCCCACGCGGCTCGACCGCGCGGTCATCGACCCCGCCAAGCACGCGGCGGCGCTCGCCGGCGCCGACTCGCTGCCGATCCGCCTCCACCCGAACATCTGCGTCATCGCGAGCGGCGGCGTCGAGCTGCGCGGCCTCAAAGTGAGCATCGCCCCGCGCCGCGTCAACGCGCAACCACCCCCCAAACTGGAGAAATACACGTTCCGGCCGTACGACGACGCGACCGTCGCGACCGACGACGCGACCCGCTCCAAGCGCGACGCGATGATCGCGTGCCTGCAGCTCGTGCTCGAGAACTGCGGCTCGCTGCGGCTGAAGAGCACCGAGGCGGCGCTGCAGCGGCCGGCGGAGGCGCTGCTGACGCCGCTCGCGCTGCAGCTGTTCGACGCCGAGCCGGAGGTGCGCATCGCCGCGAGCGTGGCGGTGGCCGGCGCTCCCGCGCCGTACTCGGCCACTCTGCAACCGCTCGGCGTGAAAGTGACGCAGAAGGACGTCCTCGCCGCGTCGCCGGACAGCGACTGCCAGCTGGTGATGGCCGCCGACGTGCTGGCTCGGCACGGCGCGGAGGCGCTGCGGCAGCTGGGCGGCGCGCTGGCGGAGCGCGGCATGGTGCTGCTGGAGGAGCCGCGCGGGGCCGCCGACGGCCCGACCGCGGTCGCCGCCTTGAAGCACGCGGGGCTCGCGGTCGTGGCGCGCCAGGTGGCCGCCTCCTGCGAGTACGTGCTGCTGCGCCGCGCGGTCCGACTACCCGAAGAATACGACGTGGTCGAAGTGGGCGCCGATGCGGATTACGCGTGGGTGGATTCGCTGCGCGAGGCTTTGGAGAGCGCGGAGTCCGGAGACCGGCGCGTGTATGTCGTGGGTCGCGGCGCGTCAGGCGCGCTGGGCCTGGGCACGTGCCTGCGCGCGGAGCCGGGCGGCGCGGCGGTGCGCGCGTTCCTGGTGCCGGGCGGGGCGCCGCCCTTCAGCCCCGACGCGCCCGCCTACCGCGACCAGGTGCGGCGCGACCTCGTCTGCAACGTGCTGCGCGCCGGCGTGTGGGGCTCCTACCGACACCTGCCGCTCGCCGATTCCGCCGACGCTCTACTCCAGGTAAACACTTGTTATTTTTTCCTTGAACTTATATCAAGATAATGCTCTAATTTGTAATGATGTTTCGTCAACACTAACTCGTGTTCGTGCGTTTCCGTCAGGTGGAGCACGCGTACGTGAACACGCTGACGCGCGGCGACCTGGCGTCGCTGCGCTGGATAGAGTCGCCGCTGCGGTTCGTGCACGAGACGCCGCTGGCGCGGGGCTCGGAGCTGTGCCGCGTGTACTGCGCGCCGCTCAACTTCCGCGACATCATGCTGGCCACCGGCAAGCTGCCGCCCGACGCGCTGCCCGGCAACCTCGCCGGACAGGTTAATATATATTTGTTTCTTACGTTTTCACGCACCCCACTCCTTAAATAAAACAAGTTTCAACGGTATAAATTTTATATCATTCTCACACAATTATCACAATAAAACCTCTCGATTGATCAGTATTAACCCGTCGATCGGTTCGCAGGACTGCATCCTGGGTCTAGAGTTCAGCGGTCGCGCTGAGGACGGTCGCCGCGTGATGGGCATGGTGGCGGCCCGCGGGCTCGCGACCAGCGTGGTCGCAGACTCCGCGTTCCTGTGGGACGTGCCCGCGGCGTGGTCGCTGGAGGAGGCGGCCACGGTGCCGGTCGCGTACGCCACCGCGTACTACGCGCTGGCGGTGCGCGGGCGCATGCGGCGCGGTGACTCGGTGCTGGTGCACGCGGGGTCGGGCGGCGTGGGTCAGGCCGCCATCGCCATCGCGCTGCACGCCGGCGCCACCGTCTTCACCACCGTCGGCACGCCCGACAAACGAGCCTTCCTGCACGAGCGCTTCCCCCAACTCCTGGACGAAAACATTGGCAACTCCCGCGACACCAGCTTCGAGCAACTCGTCCTGGAGAGAACCGACGGCAGAGGCGTCGACCTCGTGCTCAACTCGCTGGCCGATGACAAACTGCAAGCGTCGATCCGCTGCCTGGCCGAGGGAGGCCGTTTCCTCGAAATCGGCAAGCTCGATCTCTCCAACAATACGCCTCTGGTGAGTAAGCTAAAGTGATTTTCTTTTTAGTTTTATTTATTTTGAGAAATACAGCTGACCTGAAAAAACACATCATAACTTAACAAATGTTTATATACAGGATTTTTTTACGTTTTTTCTTTATCTTCAGATGATCCTAATCTTTGACCTTCCGCTTCCAGGGTATGGCGATATTCCTGAAGAACACCACCTTCCACGGTATCCTCTTAGACGCGTTGTTCGAGGCGGGAGGCGATGACATAGAGAAGGCGGCCGTGGTGCGCTGCATGAACGAAGGCATGCGGTCGGGAGCCGTCCGCCCGTTACCTTCCACTGTATTCGGAGACCAACAACTGGAGCAGGCCTTCAGGTCAGTGGCGACCGTTGCCCTTTTGACACGGACTGCTCTCGCTCCCTAAAGTTAAATATTAAGCAATTTCCAAATAAATTTTGTCCACAATTAAAACATAGATAACAATCTATATCACTTCACAGAGTGCAAGGGTGCCCCCTTATGTTATTCTGCCGCGCTAAAGTAAATCCGAAAATCCCTGTATGGGTTGGGGCTTTTTAAAAAATTCTGTTCGTTATAGTAAATTGTCTTCTATGTAAAACGGAGCGACCAGAAATCACACAAACTTGTCCACGTTTCGGAGAAAACACGATTCCAGTTCATCCATACTAATTGACAGAACCAATAATCGTGTTCCAATGTCCAAAGCGCGTTAGATAAAAATCAATCAAATACAGGGAACGCACAATCACAACGAAGTAAGACGAGTCGACTATTTGCAACTGCAAGTGAAGGACTTGGGACTCCCGTAAACCGTTTTGGGGTGTCTCAGTAAGTGTAAGCGCAGGATGGTCGGCGGGCTTAGTCGTATATCTGATTATATAGTACGATATGGCATATTATTACTCATGTTTCTTAATAATATAAAATGAAAATACTATAAAATGAATTTATTTAGCTACTTAAATATGCCCATGTGTCATATCTTTTGACTATCAGGATATTTTTTATGGTGTCATAATAAAAAAGACTAGTTTTTCATAGATCTATCGATTCATACTAATTACATTGTTGGCGGAGCTGGGTGTGTTTTGCCCATTGTCTTTTCTCTGCTGATTACTAGTCTAGCTTGCTTCGTTTCTCTGCACTTTTCTTCTTTTATGTACAGCTTTATAGAGGAAAATCAATCTATGTCTATGATCTCGTTTACATTCGGCCCATTTGCGCAGCGACTAGCAGGGACATCAAGAACCCGGCGTACTTGCATCGCCTCTCACTCATCTCCTTCATCTTTGTCATCAGTCTAATTGGAATGTAATACGTGAATGAAACATGCGAATTCAAACATTCATCTCTGCGACAGTAGTATTCTGCCGACTCTATATCAACGCGAATAGCAGTGACAGGGGATGAATGTAAATCTATCTATATATATATAAAACTCAAAGGTGACTGACTGACATAGTGATTTATCAATATACATATATATAAAACTCAAAGGTGACTGACTGATATAGTGATCTATCAACGCACAGCCCAAACCACTGGATGGATCGGGCTGTTTGGCATGCAGGTAGATGTTATGACGTAGGCATCCGCTAAGAAAGGATTTTAGTCAATTCTACCCCCAAGGGGATAAAATAGGGAACGAAAGTTTGAATGAAACTTTGTCAATTTTAAATCGATCAAGCTGAGACTTTGTTAATTATATGAAGAGTCATTTAAATCTACACTACAGCTCTACACCGAGGGGAGGGCGTGCCACCGGGGGGATGTTAAATTGTTAATAACGAGAATGTTTTTCCGCAGATACATGGCGACGGGCAAGCACATCGGCAAGGTGGTGATCCGCGTCCGCGAAGAGGAAGCTCGCGGCGCGCGGCCCGCCAGCAGGCTGGTGTCGGCGCTGCCCCGCACCTACATGCACCCCGGCAAGGTCTACGTGCTGGTGGGCGGGCTGGGCGGCTTCGGCCTGGAGCTAGCTCGCTGGCTGGTCTCCCGCGGCGCTCGCAAGATCGTCTTCGTGTCCCGCAGCGGAGTACGCACCGGCTACCAAGCTTGGGTAGTCCGCTCCTTGAAGCAAAACGGCGCGGAAGTGCAAGTGTCCACTCAGGACGCGACCACGCCTGAGGGCGCGCGGGAGTTGATGCGCGCCGCGGCCGCCATGGGGCCTGTGGGCGGCGTGTTCAATCTGGCCGCTGTGCTGCGGGACGCCTTCCTCGAGAACCAAACCCCGGCGGACTTCCAGGTCGTCGCCAAGCCCAAAGTTGACGGTGTGTATCTTTATATATATAATTCTTCTGTTAGTGTGTATGTCGCTGAACTTCTCTTAAACGACTGGACCGATTTTGATGAAATTTTTTGTGTGTGTTCAAGGAGATCTGAGAATGGTTAAGATTCACAATTTTGTCCGCTCGACAATGTTTTTTAATTAAATTTTTTTAAGTTCGCTGGGTCAGCTAGTCTCCGTATATTTTTTTATATATAGTAATTCCGACGAGATGATTGAACTATCACCGTCTTATTAATGATAAGAATAATCTTGGATATGTTAGGCCATGTTTGTCTCTGTTCATTGAATTTCAAATGGCATTCGAGTGATGTAAATAAGGCGTGAGTAGTTTAAGTTTTATTTATCGTTTATTGGATTTAAAATAACTTTCTCATACGCCAATGTAAATAAATTCTATTTGGAAAAACGTTTACAAAAGAAAGAATGAAAGAAGAAAGAAATAATTTATTGACTAACAAACAAAGCATAGATAAAACAAAAAAAAAAACAATAATAAGGTCAACTAGGTCCCTGCCCTAACACAATGCTACAATGACACTAAGGCCGCTGCGGCGCTGATATTCTGGCAAAAGATTTTCTAGTATATTTTTTTGGTGCTTTCTTAAGCACTTTCTTTTTCTTCTTCTCTTCTTCTTCTTAAAGATTCTAGATAAACTTGGATCTTTGACTTGTGCAGGCACGATAGCCCTGGACGCTGCGACGCGCGAGCTCGCGCCGGAGCTGGAGTACTTCGTGGTATTCTCGTCGGTGTCGTGCGGCCGCGGCAACGCCGGACAGTCCAACTACGGATATGCCAACTCCGTCATGGAGCGCATCGTCGAACAACGGCAAGCTGACGGCCTGCCTGGACTGGCGGTGCAGTGGGGAGCTATCGGTGAGTAAACAGACACTTGTTGTGTTGTGTTTTACGACATTCCAATTATGTGATGATTTTCGTCCAGTTCTTTATGATAAAAAAGACTTAATATTCGAGTTGATCGCGGCAACTTGTCTAAAGTCGAACTTTCTCACTTGTCAAAGTGAGAGTCTTTCTTCAAATCTTTGTAAAGACTTCGACCAAAGCCGATGTTAGTTGCACTTTTTTTATACCTTCGCAAATTAAAGGATTTTATCGAGATTAATCTTTACGTTTAGTCGGAACGAGCATTGAGCGATGTCTTGCCTTTTTATAATACAGCTCCTATATAAAATTTTTAGCAAGAATATTAACGCAAAGTGTGCTTGTGTGTGCGGTGTGAGGAGCTCAATGGCGCGACTGGTTAGCGTGTTCGGCTGCAATCGTTGAAGTTAAGCGACTGTCGCAGTGGTCGGTCATTGGATGGGTGACCAAAAATTTACTATCTCGAGCTCCTCCGAGTTTCATCTGCAGTCGTTAGCAACTACCAAACCGCATTGAGCCCGCGCGGTGGGCCATGACCCGATCTCCCTATTCCATCCATAAGGAAGTGCCCCAGCAGTGGGGACATTAATAGGCTGGTGATGTGTGCTCGGTGTTCGTTGCCCCAGCAATGGACAGACGGAGACCAATCATATATGTTTGAATCTTAGCCGTTTGATTGTTGATACATTATTTTTCGTTCGTTAGGCGAAGTGGGCATGATCGTGGAGCAGATGGGCGGCGACGAGACAGTGGTGGGCGGCACTGTACCTCAGCGCATCGCGTCTTGTATGGAGGCGCTCGGGACGATGCTGGCGCTGCCCCACGCCGTGGCCGCGTCCATGGTGCTGGCCGACAAGCAGCGCCGCGCCGCCGCGCCCGCGCAGGACCTGGTGCACGTGGTGGCCAACGTGCTGGGTGAGTGCGCCCTGCCACATCAAATATTACTTCTTTTATGTATCTCAGGGCATTCATTTTAATTTCCTTGCAAAAAAGTGGTAGTAGTTACGAGAACCGTAAGCTTGCGCCGTGCCAACGCCATCTTTCGTCGTTTGAAGGAACCGTTGGATCGAACCTGGAGCTCTACCCTCTTTCTCCGAAACGAAATTTCGGCAACGAACGAATTTTAAACGAAATTTTCCCAGTGACTCTACTCTATTTCATCTTCTAACACGCACATAAAGTTCGGAATCACAAACTCATTGTTCGTGAACGAATGGAATGAGTTATGTTTGAGAGTTTTTTTTGTTTACACTTTTTAAATAACGTTTTTTACTTCAAAACAATATTACTTTATTTAAATGTCAAACTATTTTCGGACGAACGAATTTTCGAAATGAAATAGAAACAGAGTAAGGAACGTGCGAAATTTCGATCGAAATTTCGTTTTACGTTGAAATAGAGTAGGTCTCCTGTTCCCTTAATATATTCGACTCTCTCTTAATCACCACTGGGCCAACGAAGTTCTCACAGATGCGCAGGAAATTATAGTGCATAAAGCTCAATGCCCAAGCTCGAGTTTGCCGGAAGCGTCAGTCGTCTCTCAACAACTCAATAAAAAGAAGGTTTCGAAATTAACGTTTACCCATTCGTCTCGCAGGCATCAAGGACCCGTCCAAGGTGTCGGACACGGCCAACCTCGCCGAGCTGGGCATGGACTCGCTGATGGGCGCCGAGATCAAGCAGACGCTCGAGCGCAGCTTCGACGTCGCGCTCAGCGTGCAGGAGATCCGCGGCCTCACGTTCGCCAAACTGCGCGAAATGTCCGGCGGCGGCGGAGGGGAGATCGAGGAGGACGTTCCGGCGGCGGCGGAGGTCGAGGCGAGTGCGGACGCCGAGAAGGAGGATCCGCTCGTGCAAATGGCGGCGATGGGGGAGCTGGTGCCGGCGCAGGTAGTGGTGCAGCTGCCCAGCGCGGGGGCGGGGGCGGGGCGCGTGTTCTTCCTGCATCCCATCGAGGGCGTGGTGGATGTGCTGCGCGGGCTGGCGGCGCAGGTGCGCGGCGAGGTGCTGGGGCTCCAGTGCGGGCGCGCGGCGCCCCTCACCGACATGGCGGCGCTGGCGCGCTTCTATCTGGCGCACGTGCGCGCCGTGCAACCCGACCCGCCCTATACGCTGCTGGGGTACTCCTTCGGCGCCGGCGTCGCCTTCGAGATGGCGCTCCAACTCGAACAGGTGAGCTTTGTCATCATGATACCGATCGAATTATTGGAACGAAGTTCCTTACGGCAGGTTCGGAGGAGATAGGGATTTTGCTGCGCGACCGAACTGAAAAAAATGTGATAGTAAAACCGTAACAAAAAAATCCGTGGAAAAAAGTGCGCGGAATAAAACTGTTAAATGAGACGTGCGCAGGCGCGACGGTCGCATACACGAGCGAGTTTGCAATCTGTGTCGATTCTACATTAGCCGAAGGAACTTCGTTCCTACCTGGTGTCCCGCGACATCGCATCATTTCTTTTTTGCTTTTTTTGAAGTGAAACTTCTTTTTAGATGGGGTGTTAATGGAAAAATACTATGAAAATGATGAAACGCAAATGCGTCACGAGTGCCACGCGACTATATGTATATGTATGTGTGCGCAGCTCTTTTCGACTAGCATGAAAGTTGGGGGGGTAACTCTGCGAAAGCTAAAACGTTACGAGCGTCATACGACAATATATATGTACACCCCTATGCCATATGCGCCACCTCATATTAGGTTATTTAAGGAAACAAGTTTCACTTCAGATGTTAGGTCCGTGTACACATTTCTTTGTATCATATCTGACTGACACATATGTTCACTGAAATAGAACACGAATATTAATAATATCACCCGTTGCTTTGCAGGAGAATTGCGCCTTGCGGCTGGTGCTCGTTGACGGTTCGCCGGCATATCTCGCCACGCACACGACTCGCGGCAAGAAGAAGAGTTCCGAACCCTCCGCCAGCACTAACGAAGCGAACGGCCTGGCTTACTTCATCCAACAGTTCAAAGACATCGACTTCGTCAAGGTGAGCCCGAATTTCATGAATCGATAAATCCGTTCGTTGTTAACCTTTCGTTCCCAACAAGAAAGTACGTTACTACGATAAACCGAATGAGAATTGGTCATGGAAGATTTCGTGAACATTTACTTAGAATCAAACTAGAAGATTCAAACAGATGCAGATACTGTAATACAAATAATGTTAAATCCTTGCAACATCTTATCTTGGACTGCCCTGCTTTTCATATACAGAGAATGTATTGATAGATGGCTTAATTCAGATCTGCCAAAACTGCAGCATTCCCAGCCAATTGCCATCTATCTTAAAAAACACAAATACATACCCTACCCTATATAATTACGTGATTGACACTTTTGAAGATATATAAATAAAACAAAGAAGCTAGAGATACTAATGAAATGGTGAAAACTACGGCTGTAAAACATCCGTGACGACCTCCGTGGTCGAGTGGTTTGTACGCCGGGTTTCATGGTGTCGCCGACTCGGGAGGTCCCGGGTTCGAATCGCGGTGGGGGCAGATGTTTGTGTGATGAATATGAGTATTTGTACTCCAGTCATGGATGTTTAATAATATGTATTTCTATATAAATATACTTATATTTGTACCGTATATGTATTCCATCCGTTACCCTAGCATCCCATAACACAAGCCTTCCAGTGCTTACTTTGGGGCTAGGCTAATGAGGGTTATCGCGTCTGAAACCGCCGTTAGAGGCGCTTGTGTTGCGTGAGGTCTCCGAAATGTCAAATGTTATAGCTTGCAGGTTGACTGCGCGGTTTTTTTCTAATTAAAATAATAGTTGTGAATATTTGGTAATAAATCAGACTTATTATGGCAAATATGAGTTACGTGTCAATGATTGTCAGTTATTTAAAAGCGGAGCTAAGAAAAAATATTGTCCTTCTTTTTTCCGAACAAAACGGGACTGCGCAACACTGTGGCATGGGCGATCATGTTTAAGATACGATTCATTTGTATTAAAATGTAAACTATGATATCGCGAGCGTGTTTACTAACTTTAAAAGTTACACTTCAGGACCTCACTCAACAGTGGCGCCATCCGGTGAGACAAAAAACGATAGCCCTCATCGGTGTGAGAGTTGGAAATATTTATTTATTTATTAAAAAAAAATCTCGTTTGCAGGTGGCGAACGAGCTGGAGCGTCTCCCGAGCTGGGAGGCTCGCATGCAGCGCACCGGCGCCATGCTGGCCGGCGTGGCGTCCCACTCGGCCGCGGACTTCGCGACGGCCGCCGAGTCCTTCTACCGCAAGCTGGTGATCGCCGACTCGTACCGGCCCACGCGCAAGCTGGCGGCGCCCGTGGCGCTGTTCAGCGCGCGCGACAACTACGTCACGCTCGGCGACGACTACGGGCTGCGGCAGGTCACCAGCGGGGCCCTCCACACGCAGCAGCTGCCCGGAAACCACCGCTCCATCCTCACCGGCGACGCCGCGCGCGTCATCGCCTCCCGCGTCTCCGAAATGCTGGCCGAGCCCGCCCACTAGCCCGCGGCCGCGGCCGGCGCCGTCAATCGCCGCCGCCGCCGCCGCCGCCGCCGCCGCTAGCTGCGCCGCTGTTCAGACCCGGTGCCGGGCGGTGTCGATAACGTGATTGACTGTCGTCCCCGAGACGGTGACGGCCGTCTCCCGCGGTGGACGGTGCGAATGCGATGCCCGCGTTCCGCCGCGGCCGGCGGCCGTGCGACCTAGTGTTTTTGAAAAAGTTAACCTCTCGATTTTTATATTGTCTCGAATCACTTTTGAAATTTTGTAAAAGTAGTCTATCGGTGTTTAAAAATGCGCGCTCCGAAATCGATGTTCCCGGTCTCTCTCTGTGAGTCTGCGAGATAGATATCGTGTAGTAGTAAAAAAAAAGATATATTTATGGTGTGTAGTATTTTTGTACGTCCTCGACTTCGTTTCGGAAGGAGCGACCTGCGACCTGCGGGCTGCGGAGATCCGTAGCTGTCGATTGTGCGGACAGCTCGAGCGAAACGTTATGTAGTGTTACATAATTTCGTATAGTATGACGGATCACATTCGCTGGAGTGCAGTGAGTGCCGGTGAGTGCGATGCGCACCGCCTTCTCAGACTTTTGACATCACATGTATTTAATTAATTTAGATGTAAGTTAGCTGTATGTCTAAGTCCTTTTGTATGGTTGTTGTGGTAATTTATTTGTTTCTGACGAGGTGTCAGCGCCCTGTGATTAAAAGTGCATTATTTTTTGAATTTGGAGTTTTCTTTTTTGTGCATGATTCTTAATTCTTCATCATCATCATCAGCCTATTAATGTCCCCCCTGCTGGGGCACAGGCCTACCCTGTGGATGGAATAGGATAGGGAGATTGGACCAAGCCGTGACCCACCACGCACATTGGCGGGTGCTAACGACTGCAGCTGCAGCCGGGACCTAAGTCTCTTGGTCCTTGGACATGTATTCCGAAGCACGGAGAAGCTAGAGATAGCAAATTTTTGATCACCCATCCGATGACCGATCACTGCAAAAGTTGCTTAATATAAATTAAGCAGCCGACCGCGCTAGCCACTTGCGCCATGGATGAAACTCCTCTGTATTAATAGGAATTTTATGGATTTAGCATACGTTTAGCAATATTCTTCCTTTTAAAATCTCCAGCATAAATCACTAAACAACAGGGCCAGTTTATTTTCTCTTCATGGAGAGAGTATTAGGTATTCATCATCTCTTAGGACCTCTATCGTCTTAAGTGAACGTGTTCGTGTAGTAATGAGGAAATAGCTCGAGTTACAATTAGTTAAGCCTAAATAATTTTGTGTAATTTACTATCCATGTGTCACTTTCTCGAGTTATTTAAATTTGATTGCAAACCCAGTCACGGTTAGGTCATATTTCCCTGGACCACGTGTTTTATAAAAGCAGCTTGTCCGTGAGACTCTTACCCCCTTATTAATAAACGAAGACTAAGCTTGGATTATCTACTCTATGTTTTGTCTCTGTTCATTGACAGAAATATAAAACGCGGCGTACCTGGTCGAAGCTTATTCCTAGTTTGTTATTATTTTTGAAGTTATACTTCTTTAGGCACGTTATGAAAAAATGATGAGAGTGAAATTTTAAGATGCGCGCGCATCACTGTAACACAAAAATTAACAGCAACCTAAAGCGACCAACTTCATGCTGTTACTTTTGTGTTTACCGCACATTAAGAAAATCTACCAACAAAATAGAAATAGAATCTCTATTAGGCTTGTTGAAAATATATCGATGTATCGATATATCGATATTTTTTGCCGATATATTTTGTTTCGATATATCGATACATCGATACAATAACCAATATTGAAATTCGTATCTAAAACGATATTTTTTTAATTATTAGCGGCATATCACGATCTATCTAAATTCGTATCTGGAAAAATCGTAACTGGATCTCAGATTAATGATATTCAACATATCTATGATCTGTGCTGTATTTAGTATTGTCTATGTTATCATTCGAAAATAGGGTCTATTTTTAGGGAGTTAATTTTCGTTCCATTATTATTCCGCGTGTCATATTTCGTGAGCTACTGTACGATATTTTTGGGAAAATTGGTCCGATATATCGATGTTTTTTCGCGATATATCGAAGCCGATAATGATATTTTTAAAAATATCGATATATCGATATTTTTTTCAACTTTCGACATCCCTAATCTCTATTTAGTGGGTGCTAACGACTGCATTGTGAAGGCCTATCAAAAGTATTTATTAATCTGGAACAACGGAACCAAAGCGCGATTCAGGAGACTACAGCGCCATCTCTTGACCATTGGTGTAGTAGAACCAAAAACCACATCTTTATTTTTTGTAATAAAGTAACAGTTATAGGTATTCATATTTATAATATTTATCCACATGTTTCTAGTTTGTATATTCGGAATACGTGTTTGAGTTTCATACAAGTGCAACTTTTTATAAAATCTTTTAATTTTAATGATTAACAAAAATATCGATCATTTTAAGACACGTCACTAGTTGGAGGGTCATTAAAAATAACTGATTTTATAAAAAGTTCATGCAAATATTTTAAGAAAATTAGAGAAGACTCCTTATATGATGTACTTCAACGCCCTTCAAGCTTTATTTGTATTTTTTTAACACCCTGTATATAGCGCATATAGCGTCCAGCGAAATTAATATTTTAGTGTAATTTGTTTGTTTAATTTGTGTAATGTTCGAGTAGAATAAAGTTAATCGTTCGACTATTTTTTCTTGTAAACTCGTAAGTATAAGTATAAAAGCCGGTCTTGTGTTATCCAGAGCTTTCCTTTAATTATATTTATATGCGTATTCAAATTAAAAGCAGAAGGGGAGGCAGTCGCCCAGCAGTGGGACGCTATAGGCTAGATTAAATTAAAAGATGTGTCCCACTACGCTGGATTTTTGCAATGACAGTCGATTTTTTTGTGTACCAATAGTAGAAGGGGGCATTACCATATCTCTAATACAGCTGAGGGTTCTTCATCAGATACTTCAGACCTTCGATTATTGACATCAAATGAAGCGGCTCACCAAGTTGAATATTTTTTCTCTTCTAATAGTTTGCTTGGGCTTTTGTGTTTTCTAATCAGGGTCACCAGGTACTCCAGATCTTCGATTATCCTAGTTTTTATATTTTTTCCTTTATATGGCCATTAAACCCTAACTCTGTACCAAATTTCAGCTGTCTGAGTTTATGGGAAGTACTAGTTCTATTCTGATGATCATGAGTGAGTGAGTGCCTTAAATGCGAAACTTTGCTTTCGCTTAACTTCGGAATTAAATGACCTACAGACTTGAAATTTTGGATTTTACGAGTAAGTATGTTATTATAGCTTACTGGCTGACGAAACTTTCTGCGTTCTGGTCTTATCCAGAGGTTCTCAAATAGGGCCTAGCCTGAAAATGCGGCGAAATGGTTCCAGTAAAGGATGGTACGGCAGTGTTTGCTTCGCGCTCGACTTGGGGGGGGGGCACTACCGTGCCCCCCGAACTATAGACATGGCTTACTCTAAGGCTCTAATGAAGTAAACAGATAGAAGTAGTAGACAGGCTTTTCAGTGCAGTAAATAAAAGCGTGTTTTTTTTACTATTAATTATTATTAATATTTTCGTTTTAATTAGTTTTGCAAGTTTTTATTCGCGCTTTTCCTTTCCTTTTTATAATCTTCGTTTCCTTTGTGTTGCTGTTTCTTTATTCATGTAGTTCTCACGAGTAGCGGTCAACCGGTCGATCTCCTCAGAGGTCGTGAGATAGAGAGAGAGAGAGACAGGTGTGTGAGGAGGCCAGGCTATTTACAGCAGGGTGTCGCCCAGTGTCCTGCCACTCTACCGAAACGGGATATGATAAAGCAATATATCGGCATTAACTGTCAGACTACAGTGGAGTTTGACAGTATTCTGACAGTTAATGCCGATAAATCGTTTGTAACCATCCGGGTGGAGTGTGGTTTAGTAAACATATCTCGTTTCAGTTCGTTGGTCATGCTAGATGGGCTGTGGTGACGCTTGCGATAAGAAATTTTTAACCACCCTCATACCATTCATCCCTCGGCATGTTTCTTACTTTGGCTTGGGTGGGATCTGTTTTTATTACCGTGAAATGAACAAAAAATATAAAGACGAATCTAATGAGCCCAAACTCGATATGTTTACTATTAGGCAGTTCAGGGTCCATCCGCCACCTTCCAGCCCCATCATCAGACCAGCTCGATGCTACCATAATATTGTATTGTCATCTAATCTACATATAATTGCTAAGGTTCATGATGATTGTCACACGAAACCATAACACCGGTGGGTAATTTGTTTTCCCAACCATCACACCAGCATGACACTAGTGTTACGGATGGGAACTTTATCACACCAGTGTGAAGGTAGGGAATGCATTGAAGTTTAAGTTGAAATTAGGCGGCTTCTTTTTTGCTTTCATTTTCGATATTACATCGATGAAAAACCGAAAATGAAATGTCTAATTTTACGTTCATCAGAATGTGCTTTCGCGATGAAAGCTTCCGGCATCAGACTGTGTTCAGTCACTGGCTTCGATCATGCATCCGTCATCATGGTCATCATTCATCGGCAATGAACGACAAGTGAAACGTCTAAACGCGTCATTCACAGTTCACCCCTTTAACTGTCTCGGTATTAATTCCTTAATTAAATAATACACACTTTCACGGGGGAATTCCATAAGGAATGGTATACAGTGGAGCCCCGGTAATCCGGCCCCTGGCTAATACGTCACCCCCTATAATCCGACATCGTCTATTACATACAAGTATTCGCTAATTCACGATTGAACAAGTTACAGCTTGTACGCACCATCTCTATTTATTATTATTACTATTATAATAAAACGTAATCTTTCTATTGTGTTGTTTAATTTATTAAATTTGACATACATAACGAAGTATGATTTGTAATCTTATCATTGGATCTGTAATTTGTCGGATTACAAGGTACTCTTTTGTAAAAAGAATCGGACTATAGGGGGTCTTTGGAAATACTCTATAATCCGACAAATTTAGATTCGATAGTGCCCTGCAAAATGTTTGTCGGACTACCGGGGATCCACTGTATTAGCTTTTATCAAAAGTGATGCACTATACAAACATTGCATTTCACTGTTCAACATTCACAAATCATTGCCAAAATTAATCCCCTTTATAGTTATGTTGCCCTGGTACATCAGTTTCAGTCGGAATACTTGAAAAGCATTCTTTTTTGATTGACTAAATTCAGTCTTTTTACAAGCTTTTATTTAACTTGCGCTGTTCAGTTTGTATGCAACTATGTATGTTTGTATGTAAGTAGATGATGTACTCCCACGTGCTCCCAACGGTAGTAGTGGAATAGAAATCGAGGCTTACTCACCTTCACACTGAACTCTGAAATTGTGACGGTGTAATGGTGGGGGAAAAAAAATCCCCGCCATAACACTCGTATTATGGTTTGGTGTGACGATCGGGAATGCATGAAAAGTTCCATGCGGTTCAGGCAGCAGACGGGACTCGAACCCGCACCCACCGCTATTTCCAGGGCCGTCTTTAACCTATTGGAGGCCCTGGGCCTATTAGAATAATGGGGCCCCTATAACTTTGTTGTGGATTATGACTTGAAACAGAGCGAGTTAAATAAAAGCTAGTAAGTTGGTATTGTAGTCAGTAATTTAGGTTCGATTTCATCCAAATTATATAAGTTTTTTGGTAATAAATATTATAATGGTTATCGTTTGGTGATCTGACAGGAACTAGGGACTTTGTATTTGATCTGAGGGGGGCCCCTATCGATCTCGGGGCCCTGGGCACTTGCCCAAAGTGCCCACGGGGAAAGACGGGTCTGGCTATTTCTTTCAAATATTTATTCGAAGAGATCTCGCTGCCATCGAAATTTTCAACGATCTATTATTTATAATTTTTATTATTTTTAAAGCATGTAACTGCTTGATGTTTAAATCTAAAGAAGGAAGGTCCGTGAGGGCCGCGGTAGCATAATTGGTCAGTGCATTCGCCCGGATTGCGAAGGGTGCGGGTTCGAGTCCCGTCTGCTGCCTGGTCCGTGTGGAATTTTTTCTAGTTATATTTTCTTTAGATTTAAACATCAAGCAGTTACATGCTTTAAAAATAATAAAAATTATAACTATAATTGCTATTTCTTCTTTCAAATGTTTAATACTTGTAAAAGTATTCATTTGACATTGTGGGTTTACCTATAATGCGAAGAGATGGCGCTGCCTTGCAGCTTAAGAATAGCTAGAGGGAATTTCGACGCGGTCCGTGAGGGCCGCGGTAGCATAATTGGTCAGTGCATTCGCCCGGATTGCGAAGGGTGCGGGTTCGAGTCCCGTCTGCTGCCTGGTCCGTGTGGAATTTTTTCTAGTTATATTTTCTTTAGATCTATTATTTCTTTACTTACTTAACCGGATCTCATTTCTTCTGTGTTCGGGGTTACCATCAGAATCGGCAACACAGAATGTTTATTCAGGTGGTCATTGGCTATACCTACCAACTGTTTTGAATATGAAGCGCAGTTATTCGTTAGGGGGTGGACCTCAGTACAAGTTGCTTTTCCATGGCAAAAGTAGGCAGCTCTTTAGTAAGTAAAGTACCCTAGCAATGTTTAAGCGAATGTTCTGGACGATTTCACAACGAATGACGTATATAAAGAAAAACTAGCTTTAGCAATTCACTTCGCCGGAAAAACAATGTAACCGGAAAAGAACAACATATCGTAGGTACACACGGAATGTACATGTTGTTCTTTCCCGACACCCACGCGAACGAATTCGTGGCTACAGCTTATGTAGAAATATGCTGAAAAAACAAACAATAATTCCAATTTAATGCTAAAATAAAAATGCAATACATGTGATGACAAATATAAGGATAATATACAATTTATACAGTATACGCAAGTTCATTTGTATGATGACACTGCCGAAATCATTGGTTTGAATCCAGCCAAATACCTCGTTCCTACTCTCACTAGTAACATGGAATTGAAAGTTTATTGAGTATTCGTTGGAGCGGCGGCTGTTGTTTCTTTTGCGCCAGACATATCGCGCAGCTTAGCAAACGTAATAGTGCGGATCTCCTGCATTCCGACTGCGACGTCGAAGCTGCGCTCGAGCGTCTGCTTGATCTCGGCGCCCATCAGCGAGTCCATGCCCAGCTCGGCGAGGTTGGCCGTGTCCGACACCTTGGACGGGTCCTTGATGCCTGCAGGGGGAATAAGCAAACGTAACTAAATACTTCATTTCTTTACCTACGCGGAACAGAGAGGTTGTTGAGAGGCGTCTAACAGCAAATACAAGCTTGAACAGTCAGCTTTATGCACAGTAATTCGGTCAACATTAATGAGAACTCCTTTGGTATAATGGAGAAAAAGAGAGACTGTAACCGAGTTTATTCCGTGTGTGTGTTTTTTTAGTTTATTTAGGAAAACAAACAACTGCAGATTTTGATAGCAAAGAAGTTGATATAAACTTACTAATTGTCCAATCAACACCGTTATCCTTAGTTTATTTATAAAAAAGAAAATATCTCAATAATATAAAAATCACTAAAAAGTATTTTAGTAAAAAGTGTAATTTACGTACATCTTCTTTAGATAATACTTTCTTCCTTTTCAAACCAAGCATTCAAAAGCACTATACATTTAAATGCTTAGCTTAAAAGAAAATAACAAGAATTATTTTAGGGCATCAAACACAGCGATGAAACCATGAATTCACGAGAGAAGTAAGTAGCCACCAAATAAAATTTGATATATTATATTTATATAGGCTTCTAAGTTTTGTGATAACTTCCTTTTTGAATGAGCGCGGTGATAGGCAAATAATATCGAGATCGTACAGGAAGTCATTGTATAGGGACGCTATTTTGTGAAGTGGTGCGACGCCAGGGCTGCTGCAGCGCTGATTCTCGCAGGGCCTAAGAATGACGAATCTAATAACTAAATATAAACAATTAAAAACAATAAAACTAACATATGAAAAGGTGGAATCTATTAATACATTATATCATTAAAATATTATCATATCATATTAACGTAAAACCGCATGTTTTACGTTAATATGATATGATAATATTTTAAAAATACGTTAGCATATTATAAAAAAAAACAATCTGAACATGCATGGCGACAACAGAGTGGATGGTGTGTTCCGCAGAGATGTGGCCAAACAAGTGTTAGCCAACAAACCAGAATCAACCCCCGCAAGCCTGTTTACGTGGAGTGAAAAACTCTAAAGTGAGTCGTAGATACTATAACAAGCTTTGCAGATGCAGTAAATGTCTTTTTAGATGTTTCCTAAATGTGTGAATTGTTTTCAAATTACGCAATAGCGGCGGGAGGTCGTTCCAGCATTTCGTGGCTGCAAATCTAAAGGATCCACGAAATGCTCCTGTTCGGTGCTTCATTGTTACAAAGACATGCCCATACTGCCTTACTGGGTATCTACTCCTATCACACATCCATACAAGTTTATTATAAAGATAGTTTAGTCTTCCCTTGTCCAGCACATCAAATAATAGAGTAGCCAGATGAAGTTTCATCCTTGCCTCCATTTTTAACAGTTTTGCATCGTTCAAGAAAGGAGTCACATGTGAACGAGGAGGTCCTCCTCCTCCGGGGTCGACACCGCCGAGGTGGGCAACGCGTCACACATTCCCTTCACCGGGGCGTCTGGCTGTTATCGCCTTTTCGGACATTTTTTTTTGCAGTTTGGACAAACCCAATCTCTGCTAATATCAGCCTTGTCAGGCAGCGCCAAACACGCCTATTGGCATTTTAACGGGCAGGCGGAACAGGCAGCGCTACCCGTTGCCGATACAAATCTACCGCAAGCTCCACAGTTAGGCATGATGTTGAAATAAAAGAGCAGCAAAAAACAAGCAATAAGCCAAACTAGCAGGAAGCGATGCCGTAAGCTCCACAGAAAGCAAACTTCAAAAAATAAAATAAAAGTTTGTCTTGCTAAACAAAACCCCTTAAATTTTGACCACTTTTAGGGAAAGTTTTTAACACAGCAACCCTCAAATGACTTTGACACTTGTCAAAATCAAAATTGACGCTGTCATTTGATCGTGAGATACAATGGATGCAAGGGTACTTGAATGTAATAAGCAATATGTGGATATATAATGGAGTCAAATCTGGCGTGATTCTCTAAACTTAAAACTAAATTTAACATCAGTCTCTCCTTTTCATTCTGTATAGAGAATGACAAGGATATACTGCTGTCAAATTTAAGTTTAGGTTTAGAGAATCATGCTAGAATCGACACCATTGTCTACTTATCTCCCTTTATTTTAGTGTTCATGGGCGGAGGAAAATTTTTGTAACACTATCGCTGGTGCCGCTTACAATAATTTACACGATAATACTATAGTAGAACACCATATCACTCGTTTAATATATTTTTAATTTAAGAGTATAAAGAACGATTATTACTTTTGAGCAATGTTGCCAACCTCCTATTAATGTTATATAATAATAAATTGTCTATGCGCGTAATCCACGACAATGCCACTCCACCAATCATAATACCTGTTACTTATCAAAGTCATTTAATTAGTAAGCGCTTTGATAAATAAAAGCAATAATAATAACATATGTTTTTTGTTTATACTATAAGAAGAATAAGATAAAATTCAGTAGTCAGTACAAGTAACCAAATGAGTTCAAAATAATGGAGAACTACGCAATGTTCCCGAAATTTAATCACTTACGCGTCAACAACTCAACACAAAGATTTAAATCATTCTTTGCCTCAACAAAGCTTCTTGTAATATTAAATAATATACTATGTAACTTGTAATTAGTAAATGTACTAGACTTATAACACTGACGCGAAGAATATAATGGACAAAATAGGTATTTGTTACTGTTTGCGTGAATCAAATTTGATCCAATATATAATAACATAAGCCACAAAATGTCAAAAGTCAAATCTCTTATCTATTAGTCCGTCCGTCCGTGGTGCTGTTTCAGCGGCCAAACCGTAAGAGATTGATAAAGAGAATGTTTAAGTTATAAGTTAAGAATAGTCTGATAAGACTACAAACCGGATTTGAGTAACGTAGCACTTCCGGTTTTCGAGAAATAACGTGATTTCTATTTCAAACGAAACCACACAAAATCTCCGAAGTTCTCAATTAATTAAATACATTTTTTTTTTGTGAACATTTGGTTCACTGGTTTGCTAGTTTTGTATAATATTAAAAACAATGAACGTAATAATTAGGCGCTGCTGTGGTATCGCAAAAGACTACCACAGTAGCATAGCTGAGACAGCGACCTGTTGGCCCTGCACAGCAACACCAGCAGATTAGTTAAGTTGTTTTTGTTTATTATTATTTGTTTTTTCTTTGTTGTTATGTCCTTTCAATTCTGTTCTGTTTTCAATGTATGTATGCTGCGCAACCAATAAATGTTTTTCTTTCTTTCTTTCTAATATTAGGAAATGATAATGCAGGAAAAACGTATTTTTCATTCGCAAAATCAAATACGAAGTAGGTGTAGGCACTTACTACCATTAAATATCGATAATGAATCGAAGTTTCACCATTGCTTTTGTGCACAACAATTTTTGCATTATACGGGAATATCTTACAAAATCATTTATGCAAATTTTGCCATAATTTTGCATTAATAACATTATAATTTTAAAATACTTAGATATGCAGGTATGCCAACAATAATCACTGCGTCCCGAGCAGACGCAACGAGACCACAGAGCACCTTTGAACACAGAGGTAACACTAACTATAGAAAACTCATGTAATCTTTTGAAGTTAACATAACAAAACACTGAATTATATAAACAACTGATTGCCAACTGAACTCATAAATAATTATGCTGATTTCTCCAGATTTTTTTGTAAATACTCTTGATGGCGCTCATGATCATTTAAAAATATTTTTTGTGGTGGCCCTGTCATACTCAATTGATCTGTAGTGACTCCCTTGGCCAGCCTAGTTGCCGCTAACAGGTTGTCTCTCATGATTTTACTGGTGAGTTTAACTATAGCATTCTTTGGTTGTTTATTGTATTTGTCGGCGTGTGGAACCCGGTGAATGGCAACAGTATCTTGTGATGACAGAGGCTGATTTACCACAGTTCCTAAGTGTAATATCAAAGACATTATCCTCTCCACGTTTTTCAGGCAGACAGTTTATCTCCACATTGCACTGGCGAGCTTGCTGTTCCATGATTTCTATTTTACTTTGTAGCTGATTATTTTACTGCATGTGGATATCATTTGAAGCAGATTTTTCTTCTAGAGTATGAAGGCGAGAACACATATCATCAGTCTTCTTATTTAGCTTTTCGTACTCAGTGTGCATAAAATCGAGAGATTTTCACCTCTTCAACATCTTTCAGCAACTTGGACTTTAGTCATATTTAGAAAACCACTTTTCTAGTGTAGACGTAATATTATTTTGGAACATTTCAAAATCCTTCCGAAGATTACTTTCAGTTCTCAGCCTTTGTGTAACGAAATTCGGAGGAGTTACCTGATCTTCACCAGACTGAATATCACTAACTTCGCCACCACTCATTGCCTGCTCGCAATCTTGATGATTTATTGTACTGTTTAGATAACTCATTATTACGTTACACTCTGTTTGAAAATTACTCTGTGAACGTCGTACGAGGTGAGATGTAAAGTACTAGCGACCGCAGCTCCCGTGTGATCGTTTGCGCAGTGTGCGACAGAACGTATTAAGTCTATTAAGTGAATGTGCACTGAACGAGACAAATATAAAGTTCCAACTACTGTATCCTGTACTGTATACTTTATTGGCTTAAAGTATCATAATCGCAATCAGATTATTGTTTACTTCACGCCCGAACCACCATCAGTACTCACAGAACACAGATTACGAGTACAGCAGAAGCGATCTGGATTGAAGTGATGCGCCACTCACCGAGCACGTTACTTCGATTCAGGTTCAGATTCACTCACCCAGCACGTTAGCGACGACTTGCAAGAGGTCCTGCACGGGCGCGGCGGTGCGGCGCTGCTTGTCATCCAGTACCATCACCATGACCACCGGGTGCGGCAGCGCCAGCGCCAGGAGCGTGTCCAGCGACTCCATGCACGACGCCACATGCTGCGGGATAGTGCCGCGCACTGGTTTCTCATTACGCACCTTGGCAGCCAAACCGACATCAGCTGAGGGTGAAACATACGCCATTAAAAAATCTATTACATAGTTTATTGTTATTATATGGTGGAATAGGGTATTTGACAAGTTTTAGAAAACGATCTCACGTTATTAACTAGTGTATGGAGTCCGTAAAAAGATATTCATCATTCTGTTGTGTATTTCAGTAAAAATAACCAAATCTAAAACTCCATTTTCAAGTTGCCGCGAAAACGTTTCTCTGGACAATATGGCGTCTCACTGGTGTGTGACGTCACACGACTGTTATTTAAACGTCAAACGATACAATGTAATGTCACTTTAACCGGAAGTTTACTTGTGTGTGACGTCATTTAGGCTCCGCCAATCCCAAGCGTTTTGGTTCACGTGACAATAGATAAGAAATCTATTATCTTTTTCGTGGGTTTTTAGTAAAATTATGAATATTTTTTCTGTAAAAATAGAGAAAATCCCTGCCAATATTCATTCTAAACACAGATACTAACAATTGTCACTTTATTTTTAATACTGTCAAATACCCTATTGCTAGATTTATTAATCTTAAGATACACAGACAAAAAGATTTTCCTAGAATAAATCCACTCGGTCCAGACAGCAGACAGGATTCGAACCTGCACCTTCTGCCATCCGGTTGGACGCAATTACCGAGCCTTATTATTATGCTACCGAGACCTTAATGGCTGTGTCGATTTTTCTAGTATATCTTAAGCTTCAGGCTCAAGGCAGGGCCAGATTTAGAGGTACTAGGACACCCCACTTTAACGGTCAAAATGCGAAAAAGGTTATTCAGAAAAATATCTCTGTTGTGGAGACCCCTCTCTTGTGGAGCGCCCTGGATTAAATCCGGCCTTGCCAAAGTTTTCTCTAATTTTATCTCTCTAGCATGATAATGAAACAAAATCATTGACAAATCTGACTCACCGATAGCACCCCACTGTATCACAAATCCAGGAAGACCCTCAGCACGACGACGTTCGACGATGCGCTCCATGACGGAGTTGGCGTAGGCATAGTTGGACTGGCCGGCGTTGCCGCGCGCGCACGACACCGACGAGAACGCTACGAAGTATTCAAGTTCCGGAGCCAATTCCCGTGTAGCCACGTCCAGCGCACGGGTGCCTGCAGAAATCGTTCAATAGTCATTGAGGATCATAGAACAAGTGGAATTTTAATTCGTTGTGAATTCTTACATAAAACTGACATCAGATAATTAGCTTGAATTAGAATTACATTAATTACATTAAAAAGTTCACCTAACTAAAAGAAATAATAAAAATAATCGCTCGAATTATTGCATTACAACATTGCATTGAATAGTCATTTAAAAAAAATAAAAAGATAAGAATTTTGAATTTTGATTATTCAATTAATAAATAAATAATAATAAAAAAACAAATTAGTCAAATGAATAACGGTTTGAATAAATGCATTTTTATTAAGCGGACATGTTGCCAGATTAATAATAAGCTCAATGAAGGGTTTTTTAAAATTATTTACTAATAAAATTTACACAAAGCAATTCTAAAGGCATTCCTGGATAAATGGAAGACGGCGATTTCAGAAAATTGTTTATTATAAGTTCTAGGTAGTCTTACGGTCATATTGTGTATAATATATATAAACGTTACAATATTTAATTCCTTAATTTGCCGTGTCACTGGATAGAACTATTTTATTTAATGATACTGTAACATTTCTTTGGCTCACATCGACAATGTCAGTCGCAAAACAAGAACACCAGTTCTAGCCACTTACCGTTTACTTTCGGCTTGCTGACTACTCGGAAGTCTTCGGGAGTCAGGTTCTCAAAGAAGGCGTCGCGCAGCACAGCGGCAAGGTTAAAAACGCCGCCGACGGGCCCCAGCGCGGCGGCATCTCTCATCAGCGTGCGTGCGCCTTCCATAGTTGTGGTGTCTTGCGTGAACACCACCACCTGGACGCCTTCGTTGCGCAAGCGCTTAATACACCAGGCCTGGTATCCTGTGCGGATTCCTTTGCGAGATACAAAAACAAGCTTGCGGGCACCGCGCGTCACTAGCCACACGCCCAGTTCTAGGCCGAAGCCTCCCAGCCCGCCCACCAGCACGTAGACCTTGCCGGGGTGCATGTAGGTGCGGGGCAGCGCCGACACCAGCCTGCTGGCGGGCCGCGCGCCGCGAGCTTCCTCTTCGCGGACGCGGATCACCACCTTGCCGATGTGCTTGCCCGTAGCCATGTATCTGCAAACGATACGTAGAATTAGGATATAAATACGATACGCAACTTAGACTCCTGCCCATTCCAGTAGAATTGAGGTGATCACTGCGTACCTGAAAGCTTGCTCCAGCTGCTTATCATTGAAAACAGTGCAAGGTAGAGGTTTAATGACGCCCGATTTTAGCCCCTCGTTCATGCAGCCCACAACAGCCGACTTCTCGATGTTGTCACTTTCCGCTTCGAACAACGCATCTAAGAGGATACCATGGAATGTTGTGTTCTTAAGGAATATCGACAAGCCCTGAGGGTACATATAACGAAAAGATTAGAAAAGTGATATTGAAACATTAAAATTCTCTCATTTTTATAACAACAACAACTTACCACTTGCGTATTGTTCGAGAGATCGAGTTTTCCGATCTCGAGGAAACGGCCGCCCTCGGCCAGACATCGTATAGAGGCTCGCAATTTGTCATCGGCTAACGAGTTCAGCACGAGGTCGACTCCACGGCCGCGAGTCCTCCTTAATACGAGTTGTTCAAAGCTTGTATCACGCGAGTTGCCGATGTTTGCATCTGATAGCGCAGGAAACCGCTTATGTAGAAAGGCTCGTTTTTCGGGCGTGCCGACGGTGGTGAAGACGGTGGCGCCGGCGTGCAGCGCGATGGCGATGGCGGCCTGACCCACGCCACCCGACCCCGCGTGCACCAGCACCGAGTCACCGCGCCGCATGCGCCCGCGCACCGCCAGCGCGTAGTACGCGGTGGCGTACGCGACCGGCACCGTGGCCGCCTCCTCCAGCGACCACGCCTCGGGCACGTCCCACAGGAAGGCGGAGTCCGCCACCACGCTGGTTGCCAATGCGCGTGCAGCCACCATTCCCATCACGCGTCGCCCGTTTTCTGCCCGACCACTGAACTCCAATCCCAGGATACAATCCTGCGTACCATATTGTGCTTTAGTGATTCAGGCAAATCTGTTCTCACGAGTCACTTAGTCTCGAGTCTCGGGCATTTAGGAAGTATGGTAAACAAAGAAACTAGAGAGAAACTCAGATTGTGATCTCTGGCACATCCCTTTTTTGGGGCAGTCTTTAAACACTTCGTGGAAGGGAGGGGAAAACAGGAGTTTGGATTTGGTGGATTAGAATTTGCAGTGTTTGGACACTCTAAAAGAGTGTATAACTGTTTTTTTATCGATCCTAATAATCTCTGGTGTGCGGTTCAATTCCCGCACATGGTTCCGTGTCAGCGAAATAGTTTACTTATTTAATAATTTTATTGTATTGTCAGTCGTGTGTATCAATAGATAGTAGGTGTAGTATAATTGTTAGCTCATATATCAAGAAAATAAAGATTTCAAATGTTACTTGTACGATGGCAACCTTCCGTTTTGCGTCAGCGAGTTGTACCCTCTCTCCGTTGATTTTTCATATTATTCTTTGTTTTAAAATAAACCTGAATAAATCACTAAAAGTAGTTTACAGATATTTTAAAATACCTGTCCGGCGAGGTTGCCGGGCAGCGCGTCGGGCGGCAGCTTGCCGGTGGCCAGCATGATGTCGCGGAAGTTGAGCGGCGCGCAGTACACGCGGCACAGCTCCGAGCCCCGCGCCAGCGGCGACTCGTGCACGAACCGCAGCGGCGACTCTATCCAGCGCAGCGACGCCAGGTCGCCGCGCGTCAGCGTGTTCACGTACGCGTGCTCCACCTGAGGGAAACGCACGTGTAAGCGGAGCGGATCTTTTATGGTTGGACTATATAAAAGGAGAAAACAAGCATTCACCTGGAGGAGGGCGTCGCCGGCGTCGGCAAGCGGCAAATGCAAGTAGGAGCCCCACACGCCTTCGTGAAGCACGTTGCAGGTGAGATCCTTCTGTACTTGTGTCACAAAGGTTGGTGCGCTTGGATCGAAAGGTTCACACGTGTCGGGCAAATAGTATACACGCACGATTGCATCGTCCGTCTCCAGGTTTAGGGATCTTCCCAGTCCCACCACTCCGGAATCCTGAACGTGAGTCACTACGTACACCCGCAGTGGTATAGTTTTCGCGCGCTCGAGAATATCTCGCAGTGGGTTCACCCATGCGTAACAGTCGTTTTCGTCAACCTCCACGACCATATACTCAGATGGTAGTTTTGGTATACGGCGCAACAACAAATACTCACAGTCGTTTGTTACTTTACGTGCGATCAACACCAAGTTAGCGCGTTCTATTGCTTCGGCCACACCAGATTTGCTCAGAATGCCATGTGGCTCTTCTAATAATAGCATTCCGTCTTTGTCTATTGCAGAGGCAAGATTGCAGAGCGTTTCAACAGTGTGCTGAACTAGACATGCGACCGCCACAACAAAATGGCATGCGTCATGCGGTGGTTCAGTGGTCGCGTCTTTTCGTGTGACCTTCACATCAAGATTTTGTAGTGCAGTCGTAAACTTTGCCATATTTTCACCAGCCGCCACTCTCATCTCCACGCGTATTTCCGGCTCGCATTCCAAAATTTCTAAAATGAGTGGCGTAAGTAGCGACTCTACCGATGGCTGTAGTGCTGCTTCAACTGTCTTAATCAACACTGTGTTATTGTTTTGGACTATGATCTGCAAGCACGCTGTTAGCGCATCGATCCTTGAACATGCTTGCCCGTCGGTTAACGGAGTGGTATATGGGCAAAATTGATATCGTTCTAGTTTGGGTGGCGCTTGTACATTAACGCGACGAGGAGCTAGACTATACTTGAGGCCACGAACTTCAACACCTCCCGAAACTAAAACATTGATATCCTGGTCCATACGCACAGGTAACATATTTCCGTCGATAAGAGCTTTTTTGTGGCGCATTGGATCTATAAGCAAACGATCTAACCTTGTAGGTAGGTACAGATTGTTCATATCGATGACCGCAAATTGCAGGATTGTATCCATGAAGGAGACCCAGTTATCTGCCCAAGCGAGCTGTCCACGTCGGCCACTTGTGTCAACATGACGTATGCCGCGAAATAAACCATTGTATTCATAGCCACGCAATCGTAGTCGCTTGTAAACATCGTCTTCACCTAGGGACTGTAAGTAGAGTTTTGGGACAGACTCTTCGATTTGGTCCGAAAGAAATTCTTTGTCTGGGTGTTCCGCCAACCGCACTTGTCCCGTCACCAAGACGGTTTCACCTTCGCAAACATTGAAATCACCGGTGCCCTCCAAGATGCTAATCATAAACCGTACAGTAGTGTCTTGATTTAGTATGGTCGCTTGTCTAAATTGTACGTGTTCTAATATTATCGGTGTTTCTTCCAAAGTTTTATTATAAAGTTTTGCTACTGTTCGCCATACTAATATCTGGAATGATAAAGTTTTATTAAATTTCTAAGTTTTTAATGTTACTAACCCTCATATGGACTATACGGTCTGAAATAAATGATTATTATTATTATTATTATTATTAAATCATCTTTAGTAAACCATCATATTAGTAGACAGACAAGTCTCGAATGGAAAATGGTTAGTACATGTCAAGTCGCTTAGCGGTAGGTTAAGGAGGAATTTGTTATATATCAATACCCTGGGACTGAGACATATATTTAAAGTGCACTTTAGAATTAAAAATGACTGTTTTATAAGCCTCAATAGTGATGAAAATATTCACAAACCCGAATTCAAGATCAAATACGAATCAATAATTTGAATATCTTACCAAATATCCGGTGGCTGGAAATAAAATGCGTCCATCGATCTGGTGACCGGAAAAGAAAGAGTCCTCGGGTCGAGATAGGTCGATCTCTATAATATTTTCGCCGGAGCGAGGGGACGTGGGGAAGTAGGCGACATCCCACTCGCTGGAGTGGTCCCACAATATGCTGGAGGCGAGGCCGGGCGTGGAGCGAGGCACCGGCCAGGGCACGCGCGGGTACAACGTACTGACGTCAGGCTGGGCACCAGCTAGGTAGATGCGGCCGAGCGACGACAGGAGGAACCGCAGCGAGTCGTCCTGCCCACGTCTCAAAAGCGCCACGTGCGCCACAGACCTGGGCAGCGAGCGCTTCAACGTGGCTTGCAGAAGTCCGTGTGGTGACACTTCTATGACGAGGGCATTTTTCGGTACTGCTTCTAGTGCTTCCACAAAACGTACCGGTGAAAGCACATTGTTGATTTGGAATTCCACGTCGTTCATTTTGGCTGCAAGTCAACAGCAATTAATTTGATTGAAGTGTTAAAATATTAGGATACTTTTTTCCAGGGTATAAGCTGTCTGTGTGTCTGATACACGCACAGAAACAGCTTATAATCTGCAAAAAAAGTATCCTATTAATATAAAAATCAAAGAACTGCTTTAGCTCACCAAATTCTGTATCACGTTGCTCGGGCGACAGTGACGTGGAGACCCAGTTGGGGGAACGAGGTTTCGGGTTCGGGATGAGGTCTTTGAGTCGCTCGCGCAACATGGGGGCCGTGCAAGCGACGTACTTGCTGTGAAAGGCTATGCCACTGCTATTGACGCTTCGTGCAAACACGTTTTCGGCTGTAAGTTGTGCCACGAATTTTTCTACAGATTTTGCAGGCCCCGATACCTGGTCATGAAGTAGAGATAGTAATCATTTACTAAATCAAAATAAGCTGTAGATACCGCTAGCACTATATGTAAAAAATATAACAACAATAAATTTGGGCAGTAGATAGATGATGATTAAACTTATTGTGGCATGAAATTTTAATAACCGTTCAAAGGAAATAAGTGCGGTTTCGTGTTGCATGTAAAAGGAATAGTAGGGGTAAGCAGATGTGATGGTACCGTGACACTGTCGATGGCGTTGTGGCACGCCGGGAAGACATCAGGCGGGCAGCGGCGCGCGCACTCCTCCCAGCTCAGTCCTACGGCAGCCATGGCGCCCGGCGCCAGTTTGGCGTCCACGATGCAGCGCCCACGCCAGTACGATGCCATCACCGCCTGCTCCGCTGTGAACGACTTGTCCACGTACGCGCAGCCTGCATGTGACACGCATTATGTTTGTGACTCTTTTACAAGATCGATTGATTGGGTTGATTTCGACAGAAAAACAAAGGTTTTGTTTTTCTGTCGATAATGTAAGGAAAGATTAGGGGCTCCAGCTCTCCTCGAAATGAGGGATGGAGTTCATGAAAGAATTCCAAATTTGTTTGCTGATTATAAGTATGTGTATAAGTAAAAAAAAAACATTTTTTATTAGATTTGAGAAAACTAACCCAATTCACCGAGAGAGTGCCCTAGCATGCCGTCTGGATGTATATTGTGAGAGCTCAATACGTCGACTAACGCAATCTGCATTGAGGTGATGCTCACTGCGGAGTTGATGACATCGTCGAATGCAGATTCCGGGGCTTCGTTTAATAAGTACATCAAATCGACTTTCGACTTAAGGATCTCTGCTGAACGTTCGATACTTTTGGCGAACACCGGCAGCTGCATCAGAGTGCGACCCATGCCGGCCCACTGCGACCCCATGCCCGTGAACACGAACCAAATGGGGCGCGGCTCGCCGCCCTCGAACTCCTGCGATCGAAGAATGACAAGCGGTGAGATCGAGCGTGAGGAGAGGCGTATGCGCGAGTAGACATGTAGTGTACCTCCACTTCCTCGTGGTAGGGGTCCAGCAGCGCGTACCCGCGGTGCGTGTGCCCGGGCTGTGGGCGCGCATGCACCGCGTCTATGAGCGCGTGCAGGCCGGCGTCGCGCGGGTGCCGCGCCGCCAGCGCCAGCAGCGCGCGTGCGGCGTCATCACTACGCCCCGACGCCAGCACCAGCCGCGGCACCGCGTAAGACGCCTCCACTACACGTGCCTTCTCCCCCCGCTCCATCTCCAGGACCACATGCGCGTTGGCGCCGCCGAACCCGAACGAGTTCATCGCCACCAGACCGCCATCCCATGGAGTATTCCGATCCACTACCTGTGACCAAACATCAGCTGCTACAACCGCTGCAGCAACAAGTTTTCTTAATCTGCGCCGTATAATATACCATAAAAAAGATCCATGGCATCACATCGCGATGAAATAAAAGTGTAGGGGCCATTACGTGGACTAACTAACGGCTTTCAATATGACAATGACGTCATACCTAAGGCGCTGTGCCCACCTAAGCACGTAAAAGAAACGTTATTTTCTACCGGCATGCAGCATGATTCTGGCATGACGTTCAATGAAACCAGAATGACAATCCAGAGAAATGTCAGAGTAAATACAAAAGCACTCGATACAAAGTCTCCTCTGATGAAGATCAAGATGCTCTTGCTTATCTACAAATTCTAAATATTCAAAACGGACAAAGATTCTTCTGGGTACATTCCATGTGGAAAAAAGTTATAAGACAGGTGTTTTTAATGAAGTTATTTATTTATTACACAACCATTATTACACGGTCTGTCTTGGAACAATTCAATAAATTTTATTTGAAATTTTAAGTCGTTCTTCATTTTAACTGACAAGTCACTGCAATTTTCGTGTTGCCCGTCACTTTGTTGTGTCACTAGTAGCACGCTGAGTGACGCGTCAGGTAGTGTCAGGCCACGTCACGCAAATGTGCCATATGGCTAGCCCATACATTTACTTTGAATGCTGATGCTAGTGGCAAGTTACATACCAGACGGGGTTGTCAACCATAGAATAAAATTTTGTATAGATTCAAACCTCTGGTTTAAAATAAAAATTATAATATACAGAGACTGTTTTGGATACTTCGGTTTATGCTCCAACATGTTGTCTTCAATGAAAAATCATTTTATAAATTTATCTGACCAAATCTCGTACATATGAGTAGTGTTCTCGTATCTCCTACGGGAATTCTCGTACGGTTAGCAACCCTAATGCTATCAGATATCATGTCAGATCACGTGTCACGTTGCTTAGGTGGGCACAGCGCCTTAGAGTTCTTAATGCACTGTCATATAACGTGAAACATTGTTCTTTAATAAAATAAAGAAAATTTTGTGTAAGAACACAGAAACAAGTGTCTTTGTTCTGTGGTGTAAACAGTTTTCATCGACCCGAATTGCAAAATTAACAAATCAAATGTAATTTTACTGGTACAAGAAGGAAGTCGGCGTTTTTAGTCCCTCTCTGATGAGAATACCGTCACACGGCAACCTATATGATAAATTATATCTTTTATGCGTTCAATTTTAATACAGGGTTTATAATGTAATATAGTACCTAGTCGCATAATTGTAAGATATGGAATAGAAAGTCAAAAAGTGTTGTTTGAAAACATCGAGTACCTAAGGTACTGCGCACGTTCCTCATGTCAACACAATGTCAGGCACCAGCTGACAATGAACAACCTTGACTCTGATTTGGTACTATTGTTTGTTCTTTCAATATATTAGCTGTTTTTAAGAAAAAAGACTCAACAGGTTGAGGTATGTTTCAAAAACAAAATTATCAAGATAATAAATAAAAATAAATATATCCAACACACACCAATTAGCCTAGCCCCAAAGAAGGCAGTGTAGGCTTGTGTTATGGGATATTACATATAGTATAAGTATATTTATACAGAAATACATATTAAATATCCATGCCTGGAGTACAAATGCTCGTATTCAACACACAAACATCTACCCCCACTGTGATTCGAACCCGGGGCTTCTCGAGTAGGCGACACCTTGAAACCCGGCGTACAAGCCACTCGGCCACGGAGGTCGCCGTAATCATTTTACTTGGGTATTTTACTTGAGTGGACAAGACTCAACTAAAATATATCACCACGCTTCTTCCTCTCAATTTGAAATTTTATGCTCTAGCAAAATTAAAATCAAGGTATAAATTCTAATAAAAAAAAAATTGAGCGAAGAATTTCAGCCGATCTTAATATTTTAGGCTCTTAGGTTGATAAGCTAAGGTTGATTGGGTTCCACTCACACTAACCGGGGTGATGTAATTTGTTAGGTCTTTTAATACCAAAAGAAGTAAGTACTCAAATAATATGTGAACCATGACTCAATAATTCTTCCATCGCTCAATGCTGAATATGGGTTCAGTACTGCACGTTAGCTAGAATAGAAAAAATATATTCTACTAATATGATAATTATTATGAAAGTTTGTGTGTTTCTTGCTGAATCACGCAAAAAACTACTGAATGGATATGGATGAAATTTGGTACGCACGTATTTATGACCTGGATTGAGACAGGATACTCCCGGACGTTTTTCGTAGTCGCAGTACGAAGTCGCGGCCGGCCGCTAGTATAATTTTAAATATGTGCACTTTGAATAGCTAATTACCTTTATTCTCCCGTCACTCAATGCCGGTATGTCCGCATTGGGGGTGTTGAAGTGCAAGTTGGCTGGTATAAGGCCGTGCTGCGCCATGACGGCCATCTTGGCGACGGAGGCGAGCCCGGAGCCCCCCTCCGCGTGCCCCATGTTGGACTTCACGGAGCCCAGCAGCAGCGGCGCCGCGCGATTCTTGCAGAACAGCTCCGCCACTGCGTTCACCTCTTGTGGATCACCAGCCTTGACATGGACACATTTTTAAGAAAAATCGTCATTCTCTTTGCGACGTGTTTGGAATTCAAACTTGTTGATTTCATGTAAATTGATTTTTAGGGTTCTGTACTTAAAAAGGAAAAACGGAACCCCTTATAGGATCACTTTGTTGTCCGTCTGTTGGTCTGTCTACCTGTCAAGAGTTTAAGACCCCCTATCCCAATGCGTGGAGGTATATCGAGCTGAGATTTAAATTATATACACAGGTCTATGGTCTCTTGATGCTGTAAAATAATCTTATTTCTAAGTTAACGGGAAAAATAATTGTACGGAACCCTCGATGGGTGAGTCGGGCTCGCTCTAGTCCGGTTTTTTAGTACCATGAGCTCTGACGATAATGTGGACTTTGTGATCACAACGGCCACTTTAGAATTTGTTACAGACGGGGGTTTAGGGGTTAACTTTTTGGTGAATACCATATTCATTTGTGTTTTATTTAATTAGTCCTCGAAAATATTCAATGCACAACAAATCAATTATTTAAATAAAATTATTGAATTAAACACCTTCAGATTGGAAATTATACTTATTTTTTGTTGTGCATCAATTGTTTTGAGAATATTTCTTTAGTTTAATCTACCTTAGTGCCAGCAGAATGAGCTTCGAAATATATGACATCCTGTGGCCTCAAGCCCGCCTGTTCGAAAACCCTTTGTGAGAGGCATCGCTGCATATCACCCGAAGGAAAACTGATGCCTTCTGGTTTGGAGCCATCGACGTTGCTGAGGGCGCCGCGGACGGTGGCGTAGACGCGGCGCGCGTCGCGGCGTCGCTGCAGCAGCACCGACACCGCGCTCTCCGACCGCACGTACCCGCTCCCGCTCTCGTCGAACGATGCGCAGCGCCCGTTCTGGGACAGCATGTTGAGCCGGTGGTAGTTCAGCGACGTGGCCGGGTTCAGGCACACATTGGAACCGGTCACGATTGCAGCGTCACAACGACCCTCTCGGATATCCCAGTAGGCTTGTGTTAGTGCGTAGCCTGAACTCGAACAGGCGGTGTCGACGCTGTACGAGGGCCCCTTGAAGTCGAACGAGTAAGAGATTCGGTTCGCGAACATGGAGCGACTGCAGCCAGTTATAGTGTAACCGTTGATTTTGTCGGGGTCGGCGTTCCATATCTGGTCGGAGTCGCTGGTGCTGGTGCCGGCGTAGACGCCGACGTTGGCGCCGCGCAGCTCGCCGGCGCAGTAGCCAGCGTCCACGATAGCCTCGTACGTGGTCTCCAGTAGCAGCCGGATCTGCGGGTCCATCAGGTGCGCTTGCTTCGCGTGCACGCCGAAGAATGTGGCATCGAAGTATTTCAACTCTTTTAGTTTTCCATTGCGGTGAGGTAGCCCATGAAGCCCTATAAAATAATCATCGCTTGTACTCTAAACATTATTGTAGATGATAAAGCACTGCCACCACCACCACCATTGACGTTATCGCTTGAAACAGCACAGTTTCTTATTCTTAGATTAATGAAGTGTGAGATTGAGTCTAACGTTCAATTTAGTAAACTAGATAGACAAATAAAATAAATTTTGATACACCAAGAATTAAAAAAAACTAAAAATGTACTGATGTGTTGAACATGAACAACCTCAAGATGAACATAACAAAAACAAAGTGTATGGTGATCTCTAGAAACACCCATCTCGAGCCGCACATAGCAGTATCAGGCCAGACTATCGAAAGAGTGCACAAATACGAATACTTAGGCACCTGGCTCACTGAAAGCTGGGACAGCGAACTAGAGATCAAAACTAGAATTGAAATAGCTAGGAATGCCTTCAAGAACATGAGTAAGGTCCTATGTAACCGAAACCTAAAGATCACTTTGCGCACTCGGCTTCTGCTCTGCTATGTCTGGCCCATTCTTCTATACGGATGCGAGTCTTGGACAATAAAAGAAGATCTCAGGAAACGTATTGAAGCTTTTGAGATGTGGTGCTACCGACGTATGTTAGCAATAAGCTGGACTCAGCGGGTTACCATGAGGAGGTTCTACGGCGAGCTCACCGAAAACGCGAACTTTTGCAAACCATCAAAAAGAGAAAAGTTGCATACCTAGGGCATGTGCTAAGGCACGAACGTTACGAACTGCTGCAACTCATAATGATGGGAAAAGTCGCAGGAAAAAGAAAAGTGGGCCGTAGGAAGAAGTCCTGGCTACGTAACATCAGGGAATGGACCGGGATCGCGAGTGCGGCTGAACTGTTCCGCCTCGCGAGAGATAAGAAGAAATTTTCCGAGCTGATGGCCAACCTTCACTAGTTGGAGAGGCACCCGAAGAAGAAGAAGAAGTTGAACATGCCATTGACAGACGCTCGCAGACTTGGTGCAATATTTTCTAATGATGTGAAACTCAACTGAAGAGGACGCAATATCTCCTTGAGCCAGTCATGTTGTTTGGTGTTGTCCAGCTGTGTGGTTACCTGGCGGCCAGCGGCGGTCGTCCTCCGTGACCAGGTCCACCCCGTTAAACAGCTTCTGCGCAAACTCCTCCATGGAGTCACACTCGGGCAAGCGGGCGGAGATGCCAGCCAGCACCACGTCATCGCCGCACGTGTCCACTCTTCCATCGGCAGCACTCGGCATTTTCATGCGGTCCGCTTCAATTGACTGCTACGAAAACACGGACTTGTATCGATCTTATTGACAAGGATCAAAGTCACATAGTGTCCAGGCTCACCTTGAAGTATACGGACGGGATATCGAGAGGACACTGATGCGCGACTGAACCTACTTTAAGCTGCGAGCGAATGTCGGTGATCACGCGCGCGGAATGTTACCGCTTACGATATACTACTGCTTACAATATATTATACGAAGCATGTCAATACTTTTAGGGATCTCTCGAGTATTGAAAATAAAATAGTATTTTATTAAATTGCAGGGATCTCAAATTTACGTCTTCTTATAATTGTTTTTTTTGGAGTTTACTCCTTAAGAATCGATTTGCATATATAAGGGGCCCGGTATGAGAAAAATGTGAGGAGTAAAATCTATCGATGAATGACCTCGTTACGATTTTGGTGCGCATCCTATGTCGCGAAACTTTGACTAACAAAGATGACGGATTGACATTAATAAAATTTTTAAAATCTGAACTGAATTTAGATATTGTTAATGATAGAGCAATGGGGACAACGAGGTATGGTACAACCATTGATGCGGTATTTTCAAGATTCGTGAACCACGTATCTACGAACGTCCATGTGTCTTATTTTAGTTACCATAAACCACTTGTCACTGTAATTAATAATGCAGACAATGTTGATTTAAGTAATATTTAAAAAAAATATAATAGTAATTACATAATTTATCAACATTCCTTGTGATATATTTATGCACATCTGAAATTGACTATAGTAAAAAGTTTAATGTAAAATATTTCGTCGATTAGTTATAATAAATGTATATGAAATGAATAAATATATATTTATATATGTATATTATTTTCATTAATTTGTTAATTTACCCTTTCATACAGTATCAATCTTTTTTAAGTTAAATAAACTCTCTTTGCGTCTGGTTGGACTATCGAACTTAAGGAGTAAACTCCAGTCGTGCGTCGGAGCTGACACACACAATATTTTTTTATTTAAATACAATGCGGGTACGAATCCCATCTGATGCCTGGACAGCGTGGATTTTTTTCCAGTAAAATTTTCTTTATATTTATAAATCTAAAGAGCTTAATGCTTAAATATAAATATATACAGGGGGTTACGGGAAATCTCGAAGTAGATATTTATGGATATTATTATTTAGGTAAGTGCTGATAGATTTGACCCTATGACCTACTGTCGAAAAGTTAACCATTTTCAAAGAGCGTAGGTTTGAATTTTTTTTCTTATAAGTACCATTTTTATGTCTATTTTTATGTTTATTTAATTTTTTGTTTATTTAGTTTTTGCTGAAAAGCATGATTGATTTTAAGATGGATGTCTGTAGGAAAAAAAACGACTGGAGTCAAAGTTCAAAGTTATTATTATTCAATTCACCAATACAATGTAAAAAAATAACAATAAAAGCTAAGTCCGTATTATTATATATAGTAGTATTTATGATTCATTTTAGTAACTAGTACAGTATTTAGCTTCTACGAAGTGCACTATGAATGAAAAATCGTACTGAGAAGTCAGGTTAAATACTGATTTTTTTATGTTTTTATTTATTTTTAAGCATTTGACTGCTAGATGTTTAAATTTAAAGAAAAGTTTTACTAGAAAAAAATCTACGCGGACCATGCAGCGGACGGGACTCGAACTCGCACCCTTCGCAATCCGGGCGAATGCACTGAGGACCGTGGTAGCATAATGAGGGTTTTCTGAAATGACGGGCATCAGGTGGCAGTACTGAGACGAAAGGTCTACTCATCCGTCAAATCGCATATGTTCTCATAGTCTATGAATCTGGTCTATGGAGTTCGCGCCAAATACTTCATACAAAAGACCTCATGTCACAGTGGTGCCAACTGGCCACGTAAATTTTCACAAACACCCTCATTGGTCAGTGTATTCGCCCGGATTGCGAAGAGTGCGGGTTCGAGTCCCGTCCGCTGCCTGGTCCGCGTGATTTTTTTATGTTAAAAGGGTAGCAAACAAGCATATGGCCCCTCTGATGGTAAGCGGCCACCATAGCCTATAAACACTTGCGATACATAAGATATATAATTCCCGTTGCCTTTTTTGTTTTTCGATGGTGGGAAGAAAAAATGCACTATATCCACGACAATGAGCAACGTCGCGTTAGTTTGCAGTTAAGAAACCGTCACGACGCAGGTAATTGCGTGTTGCATTCAGCCAGACGGCGAGCATCCCGAGAGCTACTTTAACGTGCGCAAGCGTCGCATACATCAAACCACACCGCCCTTGACCGGCAGCCCAGCCCGCACCCGCTTCAGCCGATCCTGGGCTTCTCCGATCACGTAGTTACCGAGCAGGCGTAGCCCACTAGTGATGATGCCGCGGAACACTCCCCCAGCAGTCACAGAAGGTACCGCTAGAGGGCTGCCAGGCGGGCTCGACGCCGCCATCTAGTCCACCCCCTCCTGCGCGTGGGCTTGTTCCTCGCGAACTCTCTCCGCCGCCTCTTTCAGTGGGATGACCAACTCACAGCATGGGCTGAACCACACTGGGGAGCGAGGGATCCATCTCCACCGCCTCAGTCAGAGTGTCGCGCTGCAGCGCCGCACTCATAACTAACTCTGGAACTTACTGTAGCATGTATGCCCGGTAAGAACCTGCACCAGACGAATGGTCAGCGACCCGAACCAGGACGCCCAGTCCCTGAGGAGCGGGCACAACGTTTCTGGGGCTCGGAGTCCGTATATGGGAGACTGCAGCATCAGCTGCCGACTTCCCATCAGGCCCGCCTCCGCCTGCCGTCGCCTCCGCCTGCCAGCACCCCAGGGGCCAGTCGTACCCCGCGTGCCATCGCCACCGTCCGTGCCTCATACATCTCCGCGAGAACTCTAGCATCGAGTTTCCACGGAGGCATACCGGCCAGGGCGTCGGCAGCTGGCCAAGAGACGGTTCGGTACGCCCGCACCGCTCTGGTGGCCGCTACTCGTTGCGGTCTTCTCAAGAGGGCCTTATTCCACTCCCCAAGAGCAGACGCTCACACCGCGGCGCCCCGTAGATGGCCATACTTCTGATGACTCCTACGTAAAGTCAGCGGCACTCGTTGTTTGGGCCGCAGGCGTTAGGCAGGAGTCTCCCCAGCGCTGTTGCAGCGCCTACCAGGCACAAGGATTGCTGCTGGAAGTGCTCTCTGAAATTCTAGCGCTCGTCCAGCAGCAGCCCCAGGTGCTTAAGGTGGTGTCTTATCGGCACCTCCACTCTTCCCACTGTGATGCTCGCGTCCGCAGGCGGCCCCCACCTCGGGCCATGACGAATGATGGAAGTATCGCCTCCGTATCGCTGAGGTCCCTACCTCGGCTAGGCGCATTGCACCGTTAAAACTGACGTCCGATTCTGTGATGCCCTCATCATAACACAAGCCTTGATACCCTTATCATCTGCGTAGCAGATATTACCTGGCCCGGGCGGCAGGTGCGCCGTTGCCTACCTTGACCCAATCCCCTACCCCGTGGAGGCCTGAAACCATTCCCACCGACAGATACACGACACCATCAAAAGGGAGTGTTATTTTACTGTGGTCATCTGTAAGGTACTAGAGACTTCCCCAGACGGGTGTTCCAATTCTAACGGGAAATCCTTTATGCTCTACCTCTCTTAAAATGTTTCAAATCAGAAATCAATATATCTTTATTCAAATTGGATGTATAGTACAACACTTTTGAATCGTTCAAACATTTTTTTCCCTACCTATTATAGGACATATTGTTTTGGCTGCGGAAAAAAACGAGCGAAACAAGCTCCACAACATCAAAAGTATAATGGCTGTCACATTTACAAATCATTTTGTTGTTACAACGTCAATACAATCATGATATATTAATATAGAAAACCTGTTGGAATGATTGGAAAATTTGTCCCGTCCGCTGCCTGGTCCGCGTGGATTTTTTTCTAGTAAACTTTTCTTTAGATTTAAACATCTAGCAGTTAAATGCTTAAAAAATAAATAAAATCATGACTGGAAAAGTTCAAACCCAAGCATTTATTGTGTATATTAAAATCAGACACTTTTTTAATAAGTGCTTTTTTATACTATCTTTGAATTTATTTATGGTTAACTCTTGGATATTGCTTGGGACTTTATTGTATAAGCGAACACAAAGACCTATAAATGAATTATTGATTTTGTGAAGCCTAGTAGCAGGTAAAGTTAGTTTATTTTTGTTTCTTGTATTAAGTGTGTGAACATCACTGTTTTTAAGAAACAAACTCAATATATTTTTACTTACAAGTAATAAATTTTCGTATAATAATATGTATTGTGATGCGACCGTCATTATTCCAAATGCTTTAAACCTATCTCTTAAGGAATTCTAAAAAACTTTAAGATTATAAATTGATCGATTAGCTCTCTTCTACAGCACAAAAATAGTTTGAATGTCGGCGGCGTTTCCCCACAATAAAATTCCGTACGACATTACACTATGGAAATAACTAAAGTACAATAATCTGGCCGTGTCTACATCCGTTAACTGGCGTGTTTTCATTACGGCATATGCTGCAGAGCTAAGTCTATTTGACAATTTATCAATATGTGGGCCCCATTGAAGCTTAGAATCTAAAGTTATCCCTAAGAATACTGTGGTGTCTACAAGGCCCATATTCCTATCCTTTACATTCACACTGGTTTTTACCTGTTTTACATTAGTTAATACAAATTTCATACATTTGGTTTTTTCCTCATTTTTTTTATAGATAGGTCCGACAAATGACTCCACCCCACCTGATGTTAAGTGTAGGTGAAGTCCAGACGCGAAGATAGCTGATACAGCTGTTCTACCTGCCACACCTGCAGCCATACTCACCCTGCCGACCTGCATGTTGCTTCTTCACGCCTCTTTTAAAGGATCCCAGGTTGTAAGAAGGAGGTAACACGTGAGCGGGCAGACCCCCCCCCCCCTAGGCTGGGTCCATCTGTACCCACTGTGACTTGACCACGACTATATGACCCCCCCCCCCCTCCCTGGCGCCGAAGCTGGATCCGCCCTTGCGGTCAGAGCATAAATATAAATATATCATTTAGTAACATTGATCCAGTGGACTACTTTAGAGATACAATTGTTCACGTCGTCCATAATTTTATAGTTTAATTTTATAATATTAACTTTTTCAATACAATATTCACTTTACGTGTGTATACTTAAATGAGTGTTCATTTAAGTGTAAAATTTAATGTATCACGTGAGTTATGTGAATGGATCAGTATACAACATGACATAGATGATTAC